GGAGACTCTCGATTCGAGACCAGAAAGTGCCGCAGGGCCCGCGACCGCAGGATCCCTCGCGAACAAGGTAGTTGGACCTCCTTTTTCTCTTTCTGGTGGATTGTTGCCCCCCTTTCCCAAACAATTCGTTTTTTTTGTTGGTTATGCGCCAAGTTTACTCCAAGAGCTCTATGTGTGACGATGGGCTGATCTTGATGTCTTAGCAACATGTCTGGTTCCTTCTTTCATTCCGGTCATTCTTCGATTGATTCCACCAACGACTCGACGCAGAGCAACAACTCCCGCATCAGCCTCCGATCAACCAGCATAAGTAACTTCTCAAAAATCGAATACAACAAACAAACCCCTCCTGACAGCACAGAATTCCTCGCCCCCGTCAACTTCGACGATCTCCAAAACAGCATAACAGAGCCGAGTCTCAGTCACTTTCCCACTCCTGGACAGGCCGGGGCTGGGTTTGAGCCAAGGCTTCCGAACAATAGTAACGATAATGGCACGACTACTAGGTCAAGGAGCAATTCCGTTCGGAGGAAAAGCCTGGTCAACGGTTCTATCGAACCAGCTTCGGCTCGAGCTCCAGCTTCGGCCACGGCTGCTCGAAGCCGTCGCCAGAGCCTTGCCCAACCTACAGCCACAACCACAACTACTTCGCGCGCTCCTCGAAAGTCCATCGGCCCTGGCTCTCTCTCGGCAACTGGGACAGGCAGACGGCAAAGCCTGTCAGCACGAAAGGCCAGTGCAGACACAACACGGATGGATCAAGGCAACCTTCTGCGTCCGAGGACACAGCATTTCGAACCGGCCCGACAACAGGATGGCACGAAGCTCTCTAGCACTTCCCGGAGCATCAAAGCCAAGTCGCTGCAACCGCCATTGAGGGAACCCCAAGAGACCTACCTGACAGCATCTGGCCCTGCGGAGCATTCTCGTTCTTGTTCCACAAACGCTGTTCGAACTCCAGTCAAGAACGCGGCAGCTCCCATGGCAACTCCATCATCTTCATCCAAAAGGGTTTCGGTCATGCCGCCACATGCTACTGGCTTAGGGGCTCGGACCATAAGCCCCACTGATGCGCGACGAATTAAGCGTATGTCTACGGTACCATCGGCGCAACAAGCACCGTTTACCCCTCCGACTCAGACAGAGCCCATGCCTACTCGTCCTAGGTCCACTGCGCAATCGCCTTCGCATATTCCTCGAAAGAGCAGTGTAACCCCCTCGTCTACTCGTACTACGCCTGACCCAAATCGGAAATCTTATAGCTCTGGCTTGTCTCTATCATCAAACACCAGCTACAACTCCGCAAGGAACTCGGGGGGCTCATTGCAGACCAGGCTATCTCAGTCTTCATCCACGTCACGTTTGCCTACACCCAAGCCTCGTATGGAACATGCGGCGGCCGATGAGGAGGTTCCGCCTGTTCCTGCAATTCCAAAGGCGTACGAGTCACCCAAAGGCGATTTTGACCCACCAAATTATGTTACCCCCCGAAAGCCAAGTCTGTACTTGGACGTCGAACCCAAGCCTAAGGTAGAACAAGACTCAGACACGAATCAAACAGCAAGTGCGACCGAAGATGATACACATGGAGCCAATGACGAACGAGCTTTGAAAACACCGGATGCGAAAGCCAAGCCATCCGCCGGGCTGGCGAAAAAGAGTTTACAGCCCTTAAAGTTACCACCGTTGAATTTACTTCCTCTGGGTACCCCAATGACGACGAAGATCGAGGCGTTGAAGGACCGGGATGATGACGTCAAATCCTACACGCCTTCGGCACAGACTCTGTCCAAAACCCCCAGTACTCCGTTAACCGCCTCCAAGGCAAACTTTTTCTCACCACAGGACAATGAGGATGCAGTGCCACTTACCCAGGCTAGAAGTAGCACGTCGCATTTCGCCTTGAGTACATCATCAGGCAGTGCGGCTCTTCGAACGGCCAGCAGCTCTAGTGCGCTGGCGGCTTTTGACAACATTTCTGTCGGCACAAGAACCGTTTCGCCATACATCGCGTACAGCTTGCCGAAAAGCACTAGCGACTATACAGCTTTGCGCACTAAAGCTACCGATGATTGCTCTCCCAAGGTGACTCAGTCTCACAAGCTCACTGGGCCTCGTCCCCAAACACGATCATCCGCCTTCTCTTCCAATGCCGAGACCATCAGTCAGCTTTCGACTCCTTCTGACCCCGACAACAACAGCGTGTCGGGCTCCTCCCTCCGCAGTAAGATCACCTTCACTCGGAACCGCAGCAGTTCCAAGCCCCAGCAGGGGCCCGAGTCAAATGGCGACCCTATAAAACATGAAAAGATGCCCCCACCGAAGCTCCCAGCCTCTGCAACTTGGAGTAACATGTCAACAGTGAGTACCTCTAGCCCATCGCTCAAGCCGTCCTATCTCAAATCACGGCGACAAGCATCGATGTCTACCGCTACCAACCAGCCGATGAGGAACCCTAGCTTCAGCAGCGACCAGAGCCTCGCGCTGGAGCCAAGTCCTTCCAATGAGTCAGGCGATAGTGATGTGGTAGCGCACCGCTCAGCGGCGTCGATCTTATCGCCTGTACACAAGATTATTAGCTCGGCCAAGTCGAGTGTCGGGGCCACGTCAGTTCCCACGGAGTCTAATGTAGACGCCGATATACGCGTGGCTGATGAAGAAATGCGACGGCTTGGCAGCAAGCGTAAAGATTTTGAGACCGCGGCCAGGAATCTGGATGACTTGCGCCGCAAAGCCAGTCCCAAGGAGCGTGTCAGTCCGGCACAGGCTCTGCGGGTCGCCAGTCTGAACATCTTCGAGCGTGGAGAGATCATCGACTTCAAGGATATCTACTTTTGCGGGACCCAGAATGCGAAAAAGCATGTTGGTGATCTGACTGCGCAAGCGAACTTTGGCTACGATGACGACCGTGGCGACTATAATATTGTTATTGGAGACCATTTGGCCTACCGATACGAGGTTATTGATGTTCTGGGCAAGGGTAGTTTTGGTCAAGTGGTGAGATGCATCGATCACAAGACAGGCGGCTTGGTTGCCGTGAAGATTATCCGCAATAAGAAGAGGTTCCATCAGCAAGCGTTGATTGAGGTCAATCTTCTCCAAAAGCTGAAGGAATGGGATCCTCATCGTAAACACAGCGTTGTGAACTTCACCCAAAGCTTCTACTTCCGCGGCCATCTTTGCATCTCGACTGAGCTGCTCGGCATGAATCTCTACGAGTTTATCAAGGCGCACGACTTCAAGGGATTCTCTCTTAAACTGATTCGTCGCTTTACGAAGCAGATGCTGGGTACACTGGTGCTTCTACACAACAAGAAGGTAATTCACTGTGATCTCAAGCCAGAAAACATCCTCCTCGTGCATCCAATGAGCTCTGAGATTCGAGTCATCGATTTTGGATCCAGCTGCTTTGAGAATGAGAAGGTGTACACTTATATTCAGAGTCGATTCTACCGTTCTCCGGAAGTCATTCTCGGCATGTCGTACGGGATGCCCATCGATATGTGGAGTGTTGGTTGTATTCTGGCAGAGCTTTTTACCGGATACCCCATCTTCCCCGGAGAGAACGAGCAGGAACAGCTTGCTTGCATCATGGAGGTCTTCGGACCTCCAGAGAAACACTTGATTGAGAAAAGCACTCGGAAGAAACTCTTCTTTGACTCACTGGGCAAGCCGAGACTTACAGTCTCTTCCAAGGGTCGACGACGTCGTCCCAGCTCCAAGGAGCTCAAGCAGGTCCTGAAATGTGACGATGAGGCATTCCTCGACTTCATTTCCCGTTGTCTTCGATGGGATCCCAGCCGCCGTATGAGTCCACAGGACGCATTGAGGCACGAATTCATTACGGGGGTGAAGATGCCGTCCCGAGCAAGAACCTATACACTGACGACGCAATCTCCTGCGAAGCGGGCAACGACGTCTTCTCACCCTTCTGCCGGCCGGCCTCTACCGGAACCTCCTGTGACCAGCCTCAAATCCGGCACGCTGATCCGCAACCGGGATGCTTCGGGAACCTCTCCAGTCAAGCTACCCGCGGGTAAACGCCATTCGACTGTGAGTGGACTACCACCGTCGACGCCCGCCAAACGAGGGACTAGCATTAGCACTACCAGTACTCCTGGCTCAGCGCTACCTCGCGTTGCAGCCCGGAGTATTAGTGGCAAGCCAGACCTCGCGACGGCGGCGGCTGCGACCAGCCTGGTAAGTGCCGAAGAGCCCGACGAAACGCCACGAGCCGGTCATTAACGTGCATACAGAGGACGAAATGAAGTGGGCAGTATCATACGGCTTCGCATCCCTCCCCATTTTCACTTCTTGCATATCTGTAATAATAATTGTCTCTTGTTTTGTTTTCAAGGTTGCATAAACGGGTGGAAGCATCGGCGGTTCTGTCTCCCGTTGTCATGATTGATTTTGAACCGTTATGGGCCCCGAATGGTGGACGTCCAAGGGGTTCGTGGTATACCCTTAATTGAGCATCTGCATGCCTTCCGTATGATTTGCATTTCGATTTTAGAGCCCTTTTCCGAGCATGTTGTTCTCCAATCCTGTCATGACCCTGGGAGCTGTCTACTCCCCTTCCTGCATTTGTTTCCTTTGTCACTCTTTCCCCCCTTATATGCCTTTCTTATCTCTATGTCTTTTTCTTCCTTCCTGACCGGGTCCTGATGGCCGGTGTTCCGTGTTCATGGGCGGGTCTGGGTAAATGTGGTGATGATGCGTGGATAGCATCTGTACAGTTGTCTCTTATTCTTTGGCCTCCCCTCATCATAGATATGGCAGTGACACGAATGGTGCCAGTGGTGGAGGATCGTGATGTTATGACTTAGACCATATAGGCATATATACCGTGCATATCGCCTGTGGATTTGTGTTTTCTGTAGTGATGTTATCTACTAGTATTGGTTACAGTCCCGCCGTTGTCTATTCCCAGCTTTACAGCGGGAAACGATGCTATCATGGGTATACAATAGTGACTGCTTGTATGGCTCAGTATTGATCGGAGTACCAATATTAGTTCTTGATATGATTTACGTTCTCCAGGCTATAGCTAAGCACTCACTGATAATAAGCCCCCTGGTCAAGCGGCAGAGGTGTCTGATCTGGCCATAACAGTACGATTCCAGTCTTCGCAGCCGTTACTTCCTCCGGATCGACAAGTAACCCCTGATGCTGAAGCAGACCAAGCTGGTCCGTAACCCAATATCTGCATCCGACACCTGTAGAGTCGAATTCGTATTTGTGGCGGTCATTTTGGATGAGGAGATTATAGACGTCCTTGACCTTCAGGTTTGGAGGAACATTGAGCTTGAACTGGGCCTGAGCATCCGGTGCCCATAGATATGGAAGCTCTGAAATAGCTATGAATCCTTTGGAGCCACCATGGAGGACTGTGCTTGGGACGGTATGACTTGGCTGGCAATCAATGCAGACGGAGGTTGTATCTGATGTTGCGAGATAGAGACACCAGTGGTTGGTGCCGGCGGTCTGGGTGTGAGGTACTGCGGTGATGCTATGTACTGGGCTGTTGAGGATGATTGCTTCGCGAGATGGGGGAATGAAGTGGATGATTTGGAGGTTTGGCATGTTTGGGATGCAGTTATGGTTCTTATGATACAAGTTAGTTAGTCAGTAGCTACGTAGTAGTATATGGTTCACGGAGGATGATCAAGGCTTATCGATAAGGGCGGGAAGGGGAATTGCGGAGAAAGAATCAACAACTGAAGGGGAATCCGGACTACTTGGCCTTTCGGCTTCCTTTCGCCAATCCCTCCGCCGCTCCCCTCTCTTCCTCTTGCTTTCCTCGGCCTCCATACGAGAGCTTTGAGCTCCATTGATTGTCGCTCCCTATATCCTCATCGAACTTACACTCTGTCCTTCCTTTCATTCTCTTCTATCCTCCCTCTATTCATGCCTTGATCGATTGAATTGTTATACACTTCGCGACACGCATTCGTGATGAATGGCTTCGCATCGCACGGCCTCGACGAGGATGCATTCGGGGAGAAGTCTGGGCTGCAGGGCGGCCTGAAGACATTTGACGCTTTTCGTACGTTGAGCTCGTACCCATGGATCATTTCAATGTCCACAATCATCCGTTTACTATGGCCCAAGCCTTGTAGTAAACAGCCGCGCATGGATATACTGCCGGTCCATACCAGCCAGCTACACCTCGAACTAACCATCGCATTGTTCATCCAGCCAAGACAAAACCCTCATACACTGCTCCATCCCGCCGCGGAGGACAATGGACCGTCCTCATTCTCGTCATTTGCACAGTCTTCACCTTCTCAGAATTCCGCACCTGGCTCAACGGCTCCGAGAACCACCACTTCAGCGTCGAAAAGGGTGTCGGCCATGACCTACAACTGAACCTTGACCTCGTTGTCCGCATGCCCTGCGACACCCTCGACGTCAACATCCAAGATGCCTCTGGCGACCGCATCCTCGCCGGCGACCTGCTCCAACGCGAGCGCACCAGCTGGAAGCTCTGGATGGACAAGCGCAACCGCGAAACCTCCGGCGGCGTCCATGAATACCAAACCCTCAGCCAGGAAGACTCAGACCGGATTTCCGCCCGCGAAGCCGATGCACACGTCCACCACGTCCTCGGTGAAGTGAGGAAGAACCCGCGCCGGAAGTTCGCCAAGGGACCCAGGCTGAGGCGCGGCGATACAGTCGACTCATGTCGCATCTACGGCAGCCTGGAGGGCAACAAGGTCCAGGGTGACTTCCACATTACGGCTCGCGGGCATGGCTACAGGAACTTTGGAGAACATTTGGATCATGGAGGTACGCTCTCACTCATTCAATCTCCCATCCACACACATTCAAGAAATGAAACGCAGTCAATTAATATAATCCCAGTCTTCAACTTCTCCCACATGGTCACCGAACTCTCCTTCGGCCCTCACTACCCTACTCTCCTCAACCCGCTCGATAAAACCATCGCCACCACCGAAACCCACTACTACAAGTACCAATACTTCCTCTCCGTCGTCCCTACCCTCTACTCCAAGGGCGCCAGCGCCCTCGACACCTACACCAACCACCCCGATCTCATCGCCACCAACAGGAACAGGAACCTCGTCTTCACCAACCAATACGCTGCCACTACCCAAGCCCAGGAACTGCCCGAGAACCCCTACTTCATCCCCGGCATCTTCTTCAAGTACAACATCGAGCCGATCCTGTTGATGATCAGCGAAGAGCGGACGAGCTTCCTCTCGCTGCTGATCAGACTCGTCAACACCGTGTCGGGAGTCATGGTCACCGGCGGTTGGGTCTACCAGATCTCCGGGTGGGTTGGAGAACTGGTGAACCGGAAACGGGGTAGAGGAAAGTCAGAGGGTGTGCTTACGGGGAAGCACTATGCGGAGGATTAGATTACTCATCATCATCAATTTTTGTTGTTAGCATTATCATCTTTTGTCTAAGTCTACGTCCTTGTCTCGGATTGTGTATATCTCTTGTGAGAATACGAGGGAAAACTGAATAGTTAGATAAAGAGATATGTGTTTTGCGTTGCATATTGTACTTCTCGTTTAACATCTGATCTTGTATTCCGGAAACTAGCATATCGAAAGGAAATACCCGTTCATATGACCTCGTCCTACTACACTGGGGCACTTACACAAGTATCCATCATCTATACTCACAGTGCATGTCCCCATCCCGCTAACCTATACCATGATGAGCGAACTCAACATACAAACAAACCCGCTCACATCAAACACAAGTCCATTTCACCCAATCCCCGCAACCCACGGTATCATTCCCATACAATAAACAAAAACTAGAATAAACTAACTAAACCGGAAGGAAAAGGGCGAAAAAAAGAATAAGGAATCTAAATCTGAAAAATCTCCCCCATACCCACACCCGCTCCCTCAGCGCCAGCCCTACTATCGACCAAATCCAACCGCCAACCATGCCAATCCCTAAGCTTCTTCTTAATCTCACGCACCCATTCCACCCTCTTCCGCGCCTCCTCTTCAGCCTGTGCGCGCGCAAACTCCGCCTCGTCGAACTCATCATCGAAGTTCTCCTCGGAGAGGAGCTCCAGACTGCCTCGTGTGGCGGGCTGATGGTGCTGCTGGTTTGAGGAAGCGCGGCCGCGGGTAGCACTACTACCGCTACCGCTGCCTCCACCGTAGAAGGTGTTTCCGCCGGTGAAGGCGGCGAGTCCGGAGGATAGGACGGTTGAGAAGGAGGAGTGTTGTTGTTGTTGTTGCTGTTGGGACTTGTGGTTGTTGGCGGCCATGCTGCGGCGGCGGGCGTGGTCGGGGGTTCCGCCGATGAGGTCGACGTCGTCGAAGGTGTTTGCTGCTGCTGCTGTGGCGGCAGATGGTGAGGATGTATGGGGGAAGGCAGTGTCCGGGGAGTGAAGGTGATGGGCATGGTCAAGTTCCTCGCGACGTTCTTTCCAGATGCCGCGGCGGAGGTCGAAGACTTCGCCTTCGAGGTCGCGGATGCGGCGGTGCAGACGAGAGCGTTCTTCGTCTTCGAGTTCGTCGAGGGCGTCGTCGTCAGCGCCGGCGCTGCCGTGGTCCGTGGCATGTCGTTTACGGAGGGATTCTTGTTCTTCTTTGAGGCGGAGGTTCTCGTTCTCTACGTCTGCGAGTCGTTTGCGGAGCACTGCGGCTTCTTTTTCGATCTTCTCGGTCTCGCGCAGACGGGTTTGATGCCGGGCTTCGGATTCCTTGTGTAGGTTGCCCATGGCTTCGAGCTTCTTTTCGAGGGTCTCGGCTTTTTTGTCTGTTGTGGTCTTCTCTTGTTTGAGCTCTTCGAGCTCGCGCTGGAGGTTCTTGATTAGTGTCTCTGTGGAGGTCTTGTCCACGCCCTCTTTGACGGCCTTTTCTGAGGCGCGGGTCAGCGCGCTCTTGGTATCGGTTAGCTCGCGCTGGGCTTTCTCGAGCGCGGATTCACTACCGGAGAGCTTCTCTTCGAGGGCTGCTATTTGGGCCTCGTGTGCGCTGCTAGATGCGAGCTGTGCGCGCAGGTTTGAGATCTCCAGTTCCATCGCTTCGATCGTCGCGGACTTGGATTCTAATTGCTGCACCAGGTCCGCTGGCGGAGACTCCGATGGGCCGGGCACAGAGACGCTGGCGGTGCTTCGATGCGTGCGGGTTTGCAGATGTGAGTTTTGTCTCTGCAGGGATGCGATTTCTGCTTTCTACAAACCCAGTAGACCGTTAGTCTTAGAATTCCCCGATAGAGCCCTTCAGAACCATCTAGAGATAAAAGGTCAACTCACCAACTCCTCAATCTCCCCAACCTTCGCCTCCGCATCCTGCAACTTCACCTTCAACTCCGCAACATCCACACTAGCCTCCCGAAGATCCTCCAACTGCTCCTCCGTCTTCTTCCACCGTCCCTTCCCCTCCTCCAACTCCTTCTCCAACCGCTTATTATCCTTCTCCAACTCCTCAATCCGCGTCGACTGTTTCCGATACACTTCCTGCACCGCCTCGCCATCCGCACTTAACGGCGGCAACGAAGGCGACTTCAGCATCGCACTCGCCGCCGGCGACGGCGACCCACTGCTCCCCTGCGACACGGACCCCTTCCGGAACGACGATGACCGCATCTTCGACTGGATAGATAGAGAGGGCTGTCGACCGTGCGCTGACGCTCTTCCGGATGACTCGGGCTTCACGGCGGGTTGCGCGGGGGTTTCGGGACCCGGCGACGTGGGTGCATCGGGCATGGGCTCAGTCCCTTCTTCTTCTGCTGCTGCTGCGGGGGCTTCGGTTTCTTTCTTCTCCTCCTGGGGTTGTTCTTGTTCCTTGTCTTCGCTCTTCTCTGCTTTCTCCTCCGATGTGGTGGTTTCGACTGGAGGTTCTGTCTTCGTTTCTGGCTCTGTCGCCTTCTCTGTCTGTGTCTTCTCTACCTCCGTTGCAGCACTAGCACCTTCCTCCCCTCCCTCCTTTTCTGTAGCCTGCGCAGGCGCAGGTTCCGGGGGCGAGGCCGCGGGCGCATCTTCCTTGGCTGGTTCTGAGGACTCGGCAGCAGCAGCAGCAGCGGGGGTGGTATCTTTGGAGGTATCGACGCTGGCGGCTTTCTTGTTTGCTTTCTTTTTCTGTTTTTGAAGCTGAGCTACCTATAAACTCAAACCATTAGTAATATGTTCGCGCTGCGCTTGAGTGTGCTGTCTCTATGGACAGGCAAAGGATAGGTACATGGGCCGGGGGTAGGTTGGGTAGCTAATGTGCATTCATAAGGGGTATGCGTACCCTTTTCTTCGCGGCAGCTAGTTTCTCAGCCTTGATGCGCTCTTCGTCATCCGCCATTGTGTGAGAATTGCGGAAATGCGCGTGCGGGGGAAGTGGAATGGGTAGTGTGTTCCGGAGGTTGCTTGTTGATGATGATAGATGGTCTACTTGGTGATAGTCGGATCGGAGGACAGCTTTGGCCGCCGCGGTGCACGGACCAATCGGGGAGTACCAAGTCGCTGGTCTTCACTACTAATACTGTTTGATTACTGAATAGCTGGTCTGATCTATAAATAGCTGTTTCTTCTGTCTACTCGTAGCGGATCAAGTTCAGAGAGTGAAATGTCAATTTGTAATAAATACAGGAAGGAAACAGAAGAATGACAACGCCCGTCGTTGTGGAACCTGCCCTTGAGCGCCGCATCGGATTGCCGTGACGCAGCACGTCGTTCGTCGTCATCATCATCATTAGACCAACAGCCGTTCAATTACAATTAGGGGCTTTCCTTCCCTTCCTTCCGGTTGCCGAGTATAACGCCCCTAGCCGGTGCAAATGCAGGTTGAATGCAGCAGACAAGAACACAATTACGCCGAGCAGTCAAAACCAAACGAGAACAAGCAACTGAACAAACGGCCCATGGCAACAAGAAGGGCCGGGTTGGTTGAAATGGAAGAATAAACAGGTAAGGCAGAAGGGAGGGGAGGATTAGACCTCCATCGAGTCGGCGATTTCCTCGCTCATGGCCCGAACGGTGCCCTTGCTGCCCGATCGGGAGCGAAACTCCTCATCGCTGAGCAGGTAGTGGTCGTATTCGTCCACGACTGGATGCGCCGGTTTCGACCCACTGGCTTCCTCGTCGCTTTCGCTCTCGAGTTCAATACCCTCGCCCAGCCAGTAGCGGGCCCGCTTGCTCGAGCCAAGTTCCGGTGTCAAGTATCCGTCGTCGTACGTTCTCTTCGTTGTCGGCGTGGCAAGTCCCTCGCTGGGCGTGTGGCTGAGGATTGGGATCGCTCGTAGATACAGATAACAGACGCGTTTCCGTAGTCGGTTGAAAAAGAAGTAATGAAGACTCCAGATTGCTCCATCGTCCGCATCCGACGGATCCTCATCCGGCGAAAACGAATAGAGGGAGCACTCCTTAAGAGACATATGTTCATCGATCACCCTCCACATTCTCGGCCCCCACGTAGAAGACGCGCCCGCATTGTAGGAACCCGATATCGTCACGGGGGATGGAGGTGTGAGATCAATGGCCTCGCGTGGCCGAAGATTGAACAATGTTGAATCGATCGTGTTCATAACTCTTTTCAGATTCCGTTCACGATGAAAGTCTGATGGGCGCAGCACATGGGAGAAGTCATAATCCGGATGACTGGCATTTAATGTCGCGATCAAATAGGCAAATGTTCGTCGACTGGAGTGGTCGCTCAGGGGACCGAAAGGACTCGACCGGGACAGGTTGAGCGAGGCGGCCGCGTCCGATGCGTTGGGGGGTGACAGCGAAGCTGACAGACGGAGAACCGATTCATATTGAGACTCGAGCGACTGTTCAATGTTCTTGTACAATTTCCGATCGGCTCGAGCAGCCTTTGTAGTGTACAGATCGCATCCCCCAACAATGTGACAATCGGCAGTGTCGAAATTGAGAGAACTCGTCACGTCTTCGAACTCGGGCAAAGGAAGAAACTAGAAAAGAACAGGCACGGTAAGTATCAGGCCACTCTAGGGGAGGCTGCAGCGGCGCAATAGGGCTAGATTGCATACCTTCATCTTCAGCCAGAGTTGCGGTGTAGCAGTCGCTGATTACGATAAGGCGTGATGATAGATAAGCGGAGAACACCGTGGTCGGTGATCAAGACTCAAGGTGATGCGACAAGCAGATCAGAGCAATTGTCGCAGCAGTTGGGTTCAAATAAACCGGGGCCGTTGTCTCCTGAGACGTCACGAATCCGGCGATAAGAGTGAATGAGCTGGCGAGTGGAACCGTTGCTACGGTGGCAGCACAGGAGCGAAGAATGGGTGAGTTAATAGGTGAGTATGGAGAGCCAAGTCGCCATATCAGATGCAGATGAGACGGAAGGAGATGGAAGAAGACTCAGGGAAGGAATGGGAGATGGACAGCGCGATAGAGCGACGACTGGTCTTGGGGGGGATGGGGGATGCGCGCTGCGCCCCGAGGGGGGAGCCCCCAGTCACGTGGCGCAGGTCGGGCCAGTGATATCACGCACCCACCTCACGGGTTGCGCACTGAACCAAGGATGGCCAACCAGCCCAGATAATGAGGCAAAGTGCGGAATCATCCATTATTCTCCCGGATGATCCGTCCATTCTGTGAATCCCCTCACAGGAGCCCTTCCTTGGCTAAATGATTGACGACTTCCTTGGAATCCTGAATGTAGTCATGGTGGTATTAATTAGTTCTTGGCAACAAAAGTCGCGAGACAGTAGAACACAACGCTTATGTACGTCCAACGCCAGTATGTATAGCAGTCCAGCTTGCCCCAGAAACAAAAACGAACATCCCAAACAGTATAAACAACAAAGAAACGCTCGCGGGCCGGAGAGGCGTCTACATAATCTTCGTGACCACGTCTTCCTCAACCTGAGGCGGCATTAGCTGACGTCGACAGAAGATGATGGTATGGCTCGCTGAGATGAAGTGATTGGTTGAGGGGGCAGGGCGGAGGGAAACGATGTTGTGGGGAGGAGGACAAGGAGGTTGCCGCAGGAATTGATCATGATGTCGGAACCTCGCAGGTATAAAAAGGGGCGGGCCGGAAAAAAGAAACGTAGCAATTGGACGCTCCAAAGACAGGTGTTCCGTGCTCATGTTCCAAATAGGGGGTGCTGGGTGTTGTGAAGCAATAGACGCTCTCGACTTACCTCCATGTCTTCCAGACTGTCCTGCTGGCTGATGCACCTCAACACATTCTTCTTGCTGCTCTCCTGCATTTCTCCCGCCAGCAACAGCTCATCAAGGATGAAGTATGCCTTTTGGAAGTTGAAGATGATATCCAGCTCGCACACATTGCCGTAGTACTTGTCCATCTGCTCGACGTAACGATGCACGACCTCGAGGGTGATCAATTCGTTATCGGTGGATGCACAACCGGCGATGAAGAAGAGGGAGGCATAGCGACGGTAAACGACCTTGGTGTCTGGTGACGACGAAGAAGAAGAAAGTCAGATACAGTCCGATCGGGGTAGTGGGCGAGCTGCGGGGGAGTATCCAAGTGGGGGGTGGAAGATGATTCGGACGAACCTTTGTATTCGAGGAAATTGCACATGCGGGTGCGACGCGACAGAACCAGCTGGGTCACATCCTTGATGATCTTGGCCTTCTCCTTGGGGGAGAGAGTAGTGAACCATTTGGCAAGGCGCTGGGAAATTTTGTTGTGTTAGTCTCCGCTTCCAGCCAGGTCACAGAGTTGGGTGGGCCACGAAACGAACCACTTTGCCCTGCCTCGACAGGAGAATCAAGTAGCTGGGGGAATGAGAGGTTAGCGCATTTCCGGCCAATTCAGTAGCCGATGAGGGACTCACTGGATTGCCATTGTGCGAAAGATATTTGGTAGTGGGGATGGGAAAAGGGGGGTAGAGAGGCAGAAAGGCCACGAGGGAAGTTGTGGGAGGAAGAGGGAGAGCCGGCCGAGCTCTGGAGAAATTCTTTGCACGGGCCGCCCTGGTGTTGTTGCCCCGCCGTCTTCACTGCCTTTTCCTCTCGTTTGTCTACTCGATAGGTGCTACACAAATTGATCATGGAGAGGTAGAGATTGATCAGATAATTTATTGAACAGGAGAAGAGTCTTTAACTCCAGAATAGGCTTTCAAGAAATTGAAGTGCATCGACCATTTCGACCACCACATCCGATGAGGGACTCCAAACAAACCGTCACCAAGCTCTTGTGTATTCAAGTACTTCAGCCTCGCAACAAAACAATGAGTCATTGATGCTCGTAAAGAGGCAATAATGCCGAGTCTGAGAAGCAACTCTAGTCTAAGGGCTATTTATCGAGAGGGACATTCTCTTGATAATGGTAGGTACCCAAGCACCTATGGAACAGTAGTCAGCGATATGGACACCTTCGAGGCATGATAGTTCTCAGCGTAACTTACTGCAGAGGATTGACTAGAAGGTAGATAGACACTAAAGGATGCTCATGGCAAGATGTGCTCAGTATCTCAGCATACTCTAGTAGTGTGGTAAGCACATCCAGTACTACTACTCGATAGTAACTGGCAGTTCCCTGTTTACTTGTAGGAATAGGAATGTATATTATCACTAATAACTACTACTCCGTAGCAAACAATGCTAGCATATATTTCAGCCTCACCTTAATCCACCAATACACTTTCTACCCTAACTGGCATCTACTATCTACTACTATCTACCACTGATCCCAACCCATAACCATAACCATAACCACCGCACCATAGTATAGCACACTGCCCAAAATCCTGCACAATTCGAACAAAGAAACATGTACTCACCCCAAGAAGGGAAAAAGCAATCCTGCAACATTCCCAAACCAGGCATGTCGCACAATAACGACCAAGACAAGCAAGCAAGAAAGATAAAAAGAAGAAACAAAGAAAGAAATGACTCCACTCGGCCCGACCCATCAGTCATTCAGGCCAACCTGGCAGCTGTCAGTCAGATCACACACTACACTATCACGATCATGATCACAGCGAAACTTCTCTTTGTCTGGTGCTGGTGGTTGTTGAGTATCCACTTCTATCCTCGCCCTAAAGTCTACTACTGCTTTAGTAGTATCTATCTGCAAGTCGCATAGTTCAGACACACACACACACACACACACATACGCAACATACGGAACAAAATACCGAAAGAAGAAACAGAGAAGGAAAAAGAAAAAAGAAATGAGAGGAAAAGAATGGGACCATATCTGTACGCGTCCCAAGACAGTAATCAGTGATCCCTTCCGACATGCTCTTCTTTGTCAGGGATATCCTGGACGGGGAATCTGGACTAGAAATGGGTCCCGAGATGGTCGTCGACCGAACAAGAAAAAAGCCCCCAATCAATATGGAAGTGACACGTTCTCTGGCTCTTGGCTCCCCAGAATTATTGTGACTTGAACTTGGGAAACTTGACAGGGGATACCCAAGTACTTGCAAAGTAACTGACTTGCCATAAGGAGATACCTACATGATATTGTAGATATGACTGAAGGAAGTAAGTCAGTGCCGAGAGGTTTTTGCGGTGTAATCCAGGATATGAACCACTACTAACTCAACTACATAAAATATAAATAAATAAAGGGAAAAAAGAAGTGGAAATGTGTCTGAATCAAGGCAACACTGAACTTCATTCCCCTTTGTCCGAATCATACTGTTATCGGTTATCTCGTGCATGAATCATCACCCATCTATAAGTTAGTTACTCTTCGCCATAAAACTGAGTCCTTTGTTTCCGCATCCGTCTACAATGAACCCCTGTAGCCACCTACACCATCCACCTATGCTTCACCTATTCCTTACTTAGCAGTATACTAGTATACTATTATGAACAGTAAACCTCAAATTCTCTAACTTTGAGATCCATCACACCCCCCTTCCCCCCACTCAACAAAGCAACAAGGTTCATCCCATCTTATCATCATCATCCCATCAACCAGACTACTAACCATCCACACCGTACGGATCACAAACACCTCCAACCTTCCCACACACCACCTCCATGAACACTCCCACACCAAAAAGACCACCATACGACATTAAGGAAAAAAAGGAAAAAAAGCGAGGATCACCAATGCGCCACACACAGAGCCACCATAACTCAATCGTGCGGGCGGCAGATTAGGGCCACCCACCCATTCCCAAGTCTCCGGAAATACCTAGTACTACTGTAGTTCGTAACTAAATCGGTAAGTTCATCTCGGCAACGATCATATCCGGGATAGAGGAAAAGGAAAATTGAACGAGGGATAAGCCTCCACCCGAGGGTAACTAAACGAATGAATGGATGGATGAAAGGAAGAAATAGGATTCAAGACTTAGTATTTACATAAGTACTATCCAAGATAGGCAACACCTCCGATAAGTATAGTTAGATAGATACTTCGTAGTATGTAAGTTAGGTAGGTACTTAGTGAACCTACTTACTTCCATATAGCCTAGAACTGATGAAACGAAGTACATCGTACTTTGGAGGCAAATTCTGGTTTCCCAAGAAAGGAATTGCCACAGAACAGACCGATAAACAAAGTGGAGACAGAAGAGGAGATGATGAAGAGTACCGGTGTAGAGAGTATAGTACTTTGTCAACATCGTATAGTACTATATGATATCAATCCCTATTCCGGGAGTCGGTGACAGATGCATTCACTGAATAATAGGACTGAAATTGAGGCGAAGTCAGCCGTAGTACTTGTTGAAAATATACATCATCATCATAATCACTCCGGAAGGAATCTCCCAACGAGCCCTCAGATTGTACTTTTGATTTGGTGGATGAGAAACAGAAACAGACACAGACACAGACACAAAACCACGCAAAACAACAGCAGCAGCAGTAGCAGTAGCCAGCAGTAGCAGCACGAGGGGGATTAAGTTTCCGAGTGGATCGGGCCTTCTTTAGCGCGCCTCATTTCCCTCGAGGAAAGAAAACCAAACCAAAGTAAAGTAAGTACTTTAATAGACCGGTGGGTAAGTTAGTAGTAGTATCTTTCGTAAACGATGGGGGATGGTGGAAAAGTACCAGTCCGTAGTACGTATTTCATCGGGCACAACCAGGATGATGGAATTGATACATCGTCTTTTTTCTTTTTATTTTTAATCTCGGGAGCGGAAGAGATGGCGATTTACCGGAGGAATTGTAGGCTTGCTTTTTCCCTTCTTTCCTCCCATCTAATTTCTTTTTTTTTTCTCGCTTCAGTCTGACGAAAACCGGGAAGCGCTGAAGGACCGGCGCATAGTCTAGATTTTTGCTTTTTCTTTTTCTTGTCCTTTTTGGAGCAGAGACATCATCGAAAAGGATCTACCGCCAGATGCAAGTAGCAGGGATCTTACCCCACGGATTTTCTCTTAGCGCAATCCTTAGCTTTGGGCCAGCGATCAATCAATCAGTCATCCAGTAACTTTAGTCAGTAAGTACCAGTTTTGGCCCAAAGTATCTAACTAGGTATTTCTTCTGCCCTGTTGAGGGCACGGTCGTGCCGGTCAAGGGTTCCTTTGTTGGGAGTTCCGACTTGGCCAATTTGGTCACCTGCATTGATCAAATCCCTGCGAATCACACGGCAGCTTCACTTTTACTACTCATACTAACCCTTTCGTTACATGTAGGACACTCAATGGAGAAATGAATTGGGGTATATATCATAATCTTAGTCAATTCTATTATTGTTGTTGTTCTCATAAATGTCAGTATCAACATAGTTATAGTCAAATCATCTCGCATGAACCCGTCATCACCGTCCAGCATGTTATGCATGCGTCTTGTAATACCTATGCATACCCTGCATGACTCCGAGCGCACCTCCCACTATCACCACTCCAGAAACACCAAGTATCACGAGAAGCACCATCTCAAAGAGGCCCACTCCCAGGCATTTTGTGGGTATCGTCCACACCGGGTGAGCAACCCAGGAAGCCTTTGTCGTAGCCGCATCACCACCCCTGTATGCTTCTTTCCCTGTCTGCTTCCCGAGTCGGGGCACATATCTGAACTCGAAACGAGTGCGCGACTTTCGCTGGACCACTCCACCATACAGCAAACTTCGGAACCCCTGTACAGAGTCAGTAACCGTGCACACTGATCAAGATAAGATTCCACCTCACAGCAATCAGTAGTTCATCCAGACTGAGAAATAGCCGCTGGACCCACGCCATAGCTACCACTAGTGCACAATACCCACAAAACGCCAGATAGAACAGGAGTCCTGGTTTGCCAAGTTCCAGTTCATCACACAGCTCGTCGCCATTGATCCACCGACTGCCCGCTTCGATGAATCCCTTGGAGACCTTGAATGGCCCTGGCAAGTTCGTCACGCATTCCACAAAGTTAAATGCCACCGTTCGCGATGTATCAGTGGTACGGAGCTCGTGCGCCAGAAGGCTTTCCATAGTGCATTTACTCCGCTCCACCGTTTCAAAATACGATGTGGGCGTTCCAAGGAGAAAGCCCAGGTACCGAAAGAGCGCAATATAGTCCTTGACCTCATCCGGAGTAGGCTGTATGCCAAACTTGGGTAGTTGAAGCCACATAGGATTGCAACAAAAGGTGCTGATAGAGTGGACCGAGTCCAGGGTATTCACCGGTACTCCAAAGCCTGCCAGATCAAAGTAGTCCGGCCTGGTTCGACAGAGCTGAACGATGCGCTGGCGGACGGAGGCATGGAGCAATCTGACCCGGACGCTGGCAATGTGCCCTTCGCCGCCGGGGCGAATTGATTCAATACAATGGGTGACTTGGATCAGCCACTGGAAGGTCTCGAGCAATCTGCCCAAAAGCATACGGGTGGAGAAGCCCCCCGTTCGGACAAGGACCTCGACAACCCCAGGTGCCGCCTGATGAGCATCATTAGATCCCTCGTCTCTTGTCTATAGTTGTACAATTAAGAACATACCGAGTTTTCCGCCACAAACCCTTGCAAAGCGAACCCCACAATATTGGCAATGGCATAGCGATAGAAGAATTGCTGGCCGCGTTGTAGCTGCTCCCAATCCACCCATTCAGGAACAGTGTTCACTTCGGTCCAGAACTTGGCCAGGACACCGTCATCCCCCCGGTGGTCCCGTAAGAGGACGTAAAGATCACTAGGTGGTGCGCTTGTCCCCTTTGTTTTGCTTTCTTCCATCAGGGTAGCCCGAATTGCTTGTAGCCTCTCCAGCGCGTTAGCCGCAGAGCTATCATACTGCTGGCGCAATGGCTCTAACTCTTCCTTGGAGAGATGATCTTTTGTCCAGGAGAAGGAGTAGCCCCAGCTACTGATTCTGTCACCAACCTGTGGGTGTAGAGAGGAGACCATATCGAAGAATCAACGAGCAATGCTTGCAAATATTGAGTGCAATAAGGTGTCTAATAGGCCAATGCCTAGCGATTGATAGTCGGACCATTGCGCCTTTCACCCGCATTTTATACCGCAATCCAGGATACCAAGCTAGGAATCGACAAACTATAGAGCTCATGGAGCTGAGAGCCAACAGTGGCCACCCCATGTACCGGACCTGCCTTCCGCCAGTGTTACCTGACAAAAGCAATTGGGTTCTGGACCACCCCTCACGTTCACCCGTCCTTTTGGGACATGATGTCTAGTGAAAGCTACTAACGATGCATCGTGCTCCGGGCGGATGTTCGAGCCCAGTCCCGTGGCTGCGAGGCGAGACACCTCGTGGGACCCACTGCGGCGCCCCAGCAGAGTGGCCCAATGGTATGATCACGATCAGATGTGCTCGTTCCCACCATGGCCAGACCGGTACTGAATGGACAGGCCGGCGAGAAAATCAAGGGCAAGGGAAAAAGCAACAAGCTGTACCAGCTCTCAGACCTGGAGGCGCTAATCAATGTTCTTGGGCCCCGTTGTCATGATGCCCAATCGTCCTAGCATGCAGGTTAGCCAATCTCCCGGGAGAGGTTTCCAAGAATAAGATGGGGAGACCGTGCTAAATCCCGGAAACCGGGGAGAGATCCGGCTTCCGGGCCGATCAAAAGTCAAGATCCTGAGGCCCCAAATGGGTGCTCTAGACGTATTCGGGCAGGGATCGTCAAACTCATACCGCGCTTTGGTGGACGACTGACCATTGCTCTTGAGAAGCCTTCAGCTCCGGCGGCGGAGAACCCCCAGGCACTAGCTCCTCGGGCTGAGTAGCGCTAGACTTTTGCAGACCTAAATTGATGTATAACAGAGGCCATTATTTTTTTCTAACTTCCGGGTTTTGCATGTTGTCGATGGGAAACCTTAATCCTTTTGTTTGGCGCCATTGAAATTCGAATACCGGGAAACGATATTCTGAGGCTGGACGATCCTGTGGGCCCAGGTCGTCACCAAAGCCCGAAGTCTGGGCCTTGAACAGGGAGGTCAGTTGTAGGATCCACCTGGCCATTCGTACGGTTCCAAAAGTAGGTCGTAGCATTCGTCTGTATATAAAGTACCATGCACTGGCACCTGTAGACGTGCTGTCCTGATCCACATTGCTTTCATATAAACAGCGACCGATTCATTACTTTCCTCCCGATTGCGTTTAAACCATCACAGTTCGTGTCAGTTGAACATGGCCGTCACAAGAGTCCAGCAGAGTGTATCTTCGCCAACGGTCAAGGCACCCCGGCGAGATACTTCTCTCTCCATCCGCCTCCCCGAAATGTTCGTGTTGTTCTTGTCAGGCGAACCAACAGTAAACCGACACTATAAGTGTGTGAAAGAGCTGTCAGAAGCATGGATCTCAAGGTGCATATGACCCCCCAATGTCGGCATGACCTTTCTCTAACTAGACCACCGTCATAATAGAGAATGTTACTTCGATGAAAGAAGCCAAAGGCGACTACAAAAGACGGACTTCGCTTATTTCTGCTCCATAGCAGCTCCAGATGCTGAGCCCGAGGAGTTGCGGACAGTTATCGATTGGGGAAACTGGGTGCGTTCATTGCCCATGATTGACACCACATGAAGGTCCACTGACTAAATCTAAACCGATGTTGTCGAGCAGGTGTTCCCTTTTGATGACCGTAAGCACCATTCTTTCGGAATGCATGTGTATGATAGCTGAGCTTTGATTCTAGTCTTCGATAATGGAAGCCTCAAGGATGATCCGGAACGGGCCCAAGTGCTTGTTGAGGATTTGCGAGCAGGCATGGCCGACGAAACTGGGCAGAGACCAGTGCTCTCAGACTACCCCATAGTACAGGTGCACAACTCAGTATGGCATCGAATCACTCAGGTACGTTGATCAGTATACTGTCCTGGGAGTTCTCATTGACGTCTAACGGTATTGTAGGCTCAACCTATCGGTATGTAGCGCTGAACTTCCCACATACTCTAGGACATCTGCTAACGTTGTCTAAGGAATTCGTCGCAGGTTTGCACGTGCCATGAATGACTACTGCACGGGATGCATGGCCCAAGTACGCTCATGCTCCAAGGGGGAATTGCCCTCGCTTGAAGAGATGCTGTCTCTGCGCAGACAGTCTGCAGGCGTTTCGCCCCTCTTCGCTTTAGTAGAGTATGTCATCACTTCTGCTGGCCTGTGATCAGCACTAACTCCGGGATTGCAGATATGCCCACAAACTAGACATCCCAGATCATGTTTTTGAATGCAAAAGCATCCAGGAGATAGAGAGGATCGGTACTGACATTGTATTACTGTATGCCGCCCCAAACTCCCACATATGACTGAACTAATGCATCCCAGGCAAAATGACATACTGTCATACTGCAAGGAAGAGGTTAGTTTTCTACCTGCCAATACAAGCTCTATCACGCACGACTCACAAAGGGATACAGAAAGAAGGTGTAAGCCATAATTTAGTGGCCATCTGCCGTCATAATGGCATGCCAGCGCAGGTGGCATTTAACCATGCGGGTGAAATGCTCATTGAGCGCTACCGAGACTGGTACCTTGCTTTGGCGGCACTGCCAACCTGGGGGGAGCGAATCGACGCAGACGTTCAGGAATATATCCGAGGCGTGCAGAATGTCGTTCGCGCCAATCTTCACTGGAGGTAGGTGCTGAGTAATGATCGTTGTTACCCAGAATACTGACGATAATGCCATAGCTTCCGATCGGGTCGATACTTTGGGAAAGCAAACGACCAAGTGCGAAAGACCGGATATGTGACGGTGCGAAGCAATAACGCCGACTTTAAGCTGTCCATGGCGTAGACAGCGGCTAGTCCTTGATCGAGTCTGTGTTTTCAAGGTGTTTGCGCGTTTGATGGTGACAATTTTCTTATTACCCAGGTTATTCAATGGCGTTTGTCTATGTTGCGGGTAATTGGTTTTCAGCGTGGGTACTCAATATGGACATGGTAATTGTTTGTTTGCAATCAGGTTAGCATTGGCGATAATTCAGCCATTAATGAAGAAGTAATAACGAGCTATAATTCGAGAAAGCTTCAATATAGTAAAGTAAATAATTGCACAGTTTCATATGTTGCTGTGGGGAGAGGAAAGACAGAGAGAAGCAAGAGGTGCTGGAGGTTGCACAGTGCCGGTCACGTTGGCAGCGGTTTTACCTGATTGGCAGGGGGGCCACAATGACAACCAGACTATTACTGTCACCTGATGCCTCGAGAACTATTTTGGCTACACTGAAAGCCCGAACTCCAATCATGCTGCCATTTGTCTGTTAAAAAGAGGGTATGAGCTTTGTATAAATTGTACCACCCGTGTCATTATTAGAAAATGAAGTGGGGCACAACTCAGTATGCGGCCATCGGTTAATTAGTTTATATATAATCAAAGATTCAGGCCCAGAGCTGTATGAGAAAAGTGGGAATAAGTTCCTTAAAAGAAGCGCCCGTATGACCCATAAGTACCGAGCTGCTACTAATGAAGTCATATATATAATCCTGTCTCGCCAGTTCTGCTCAACATCAGGATACACAATATGCTTGTCCCCCCACTCACATCTATGCTTACGGATATTGAAAACACAAGCGAACCCTTGATACTAGGTAATGATGAAAAGGATGAGCACCCTTCTCTCAGTCTGCTCCCGGTGTCTCTGATGCCCTCGAGCATCTTCCGCTGTAGCCCATACCGGCAGGCACTAGCATAAGAATTATACTTGTAGTGTCATCACACCCTGGACATCTGCTGATCATACAATTGCCGAAAAAGCGAGCCTGATGCTTCCAACAGCACACTAGGTGTGCCATATTCAGCCATCTTACCTCCATCAATGACAGCAATCTGATCATAATCCAGAAGAGTAGAAACCCTATGCGCGATTGCAATAATAGTGCAGCCTGCAAATTCAGTGCGTATTACCTCTTGCATCAAGGAATCTGTCTCATTATCCACCCAACTTGTGACCTCGTCCAAGAGCAAGATTTTTCTCTTCTTAACAATAGCTCGAGCGAGGCAAATGAGCTGTCGCTGGCCGGCTGATAAGGGGAGTTGATCGATCTTAGCATCGAGTCCCCCGGAGTTCTGGACATGCTCGTGCAATTGCACCTTTTGTAGTGCATTGAGAACATTCTCATCATTCATGGGGCTGAACCCAGTGACATTGTCACGGATAGTGCCCCGGAAGAGGACGGGCTCTTGAGGTATCACTGTAACGTGACTGCGGATGATGTCACGAGGGCATGACTGTAGACTCACGGCATCAATAGTAATATCTCCACTTTGTATCTCCACCATGCGAAGAATGGCAAGAAGTAGAGAGCTTTTCCCACTTCCAGAACGCCCACATACTCCTAGCTTGGATCCAGCAGGGACGGTCAGGGTTAGTTGTTGAAGAACAGGTGAAGAGTCCAGCTCGTAGCCTACGCTGACATTTTGGAAAGCTATATGGCCGGCTGATGGCCAATCAGCAAGAGGAACTGCTTCCTCACCAGGAAGGTCCTCTGAGGGAACCTTCTGAAAACTGCGAATGCGTGTAACTGCACCAATACTGGTTTCCATGGATGTCCAGAAATTGATCAATTCCGACAGCTGCTGGCTGAATGTGATTAGAGAGATAAGCGAAACACCTATTGGCCCAATCTCGCGCACAAAGACAGCGAGTATCACTAGCAAGATTGCAATGCCGGCAACACAAAGATCTAGAACAAGAATAAGCCAACGCTGTATGACAAACAGCATATAGTAGGGCCGTTGCGATCTTTGGAGCAATCCTTGGTGCTCTTCACGGAAGCTGTCTTGCCAGCCAAACGCGCGTATGGTGACAAGTCCATTTAGCGTCTCGGTAAATTGGGTATACAGTGGTGACTTGCTCTCGAGATCCAGATGGCGAAGTTGTCGTGATGTTCGGAGGTAGAATTTCTGGATTGAGTAAACCACAATGGCTGATAGGGGGATCAGAGGAGCCATATATTTAGCACCAACGCAGATAAATACAGCGCTCATTAAACATTGTGTGAAGTTCCGCGATGTTTTAAGAAAGTCAGCAGGAAGTGATCGGTCAATTAGAGTCATGTCCTGACTGAAGCGATTCAGGGTGATACCGCTGTCTGTGGAGGTGAGCCAATGCAAAGGAGCCTTGTTAACCTTCATCACCAGATAATCATGGAGCCTGTTGGAGGACGTCGGGACAATGCGGCAAAAGACCAGCCACATGCACCATGCCCACAGTGCAGCTCCTACAGCGGCCAGAACAGCATATACGCTGATATAGAGGGCAAGCCTTCCGAACGGCGTCCGAGCATTTTCTTCTCCCCACCATTGGACCCAAAGATCTTCGCTTCTTTATCAGTGAAAGTCAACCATGAAGGCAGGTAGACTTACTGGGAAATTGAGAGCAAAACACTCCTACAATCAAGGATACAAAATAGATTGATACATGCCAAGGGCCGGCAGCTCGGAGATAGTATGCATATATGCTCAGGTCGCCTGTCTTCCTGTTCATATCGTCAGCATCTGAAGACACAATGCCTGGAGCTGCCTGATTTGGCAATGCTACTTGGCGCTCGTCGGTTGATCGTGAAGTGGCTGCTGGTCCATCCGATAGATCCCGTGATTGAAGCAATTGCGGAGGACCTTGTTCCCTAATCTCTCCGTTTTGAAGCAAGACAGCATTATCAGCAAAGGCAAGAAGTTTCTGGTCATGAGTGGCTAAGATAACAGCAACTCCATGACGGCGCAAGATGCCCTGTGTCCCAAAAACGCGCTGAAAGACTTGCTCTGAAGTTTTCGCATCTAGAGCACTTAAGACGTCATCGAAAAGAGCTAACTGCTTGCGTGCATAGATAGCACGGGCAATAGCAATCCGTTGTCTTTGTCCGCCACTAGTTGCCATACCATTACTGCCAATGATTGTGTGATCTTTGTGGGCAAAGCTTTCTATGTCTTGGTCAAGCGCAGTTGAATAAAGCACTGTTCGGTACCATTGCTCATCAAAAGGCAAGGGTTGGCAGATGTTATCACGGATGGATCTATTGCGAATCCAAACCTTGGTACTACAGAAGGATATTTCACAAACATTGCTGTAAGTGAAACCCTTTATGCAGGGAACCTCGCCGAGAATCGCTCGAAGCAGAGTGCTCTTTCCTGATCCAACGGCCCCAGTAATCATGGTAAGCGATGAAGGGGGACATTTCAGTTCAATGCTCTGCAATGTAGCTGACGAACTGCGATCCCAGCCAAAGTCAGCCTGGTGGATATGCAGCAAGTCCGACTCAGCTGCGACAGAATCGTGCAGAAGTCCTTGATCCAATGGTTTTGGAGGCTGAAGCTCAATGGACACTGTCCCCTCAGCGTTAATTTCAGCCCAATTTCCTTTCTTGGAGAATTTATGATGGCCTTGCGATATAACTCGATCATCAAGCCTGGGGCTTGCCAGCAAGTAAGCTTGGATCCTCTGAAAGCATTCCAAGGCTGCACTAGCTCTTGGGCCGGAATAGACCAGGTTTGATAAAGGACCACTTAACAGAGAAATTATTGACAGAGACGAGAACGTTTCAGCCACTGTCAATGGACTTCGTCCGGTATGGAGTGCAACACCAGTAAAAAGGCTGAGTGTGAGAACAGGGCTGAGGTTGGTTGTTGTGCCCGCTAAAAACAAAATTAGTCTCATGAATTCAATCTGGCAAAATATTCGTACTCAGACTGAACTTACCGAGCAAATTCATTTTCACCATCAGGTGGCGAAATTTCGACTGTCGATCAAGCTCGTCAATGCGGAGTTGCTGTAGCATTCTAGAGAAATGATTGTTAAGGCCAAACATCTTGATAGTTACACTCGCATCGAGATAACTCGAAGCAAATGCAACCCTTTCACGGACAGCCAGCATCCAGATCTTTTGTCTTCCTGGTGCGGACTTCGACAACAAATGGGTGCAACAGAAGACCACGATAGAAAGGACGGCAGGAACTGTAGCAGCCCAAGCTACCTGACGTTGCAGGATGTATAATGCAATGCTCACTTCTATGGGGCTCGCCCAGACCTCATGCACATTCTGGATTCCCGATGCAATGTTATCCATATCATTACTCATAAGAGTCAGCGCTGCCGAGTCAGTGTACTCGTCATATTTCAGCTCAAGTATCTTATCATAGATGACAGATACGAGAGCACCGCGTATTTGCGTTATGAGACGAAATACATAGTGCTCGTAAAGACAGTTCATGACCTGTACGGATTTCATCAGAATAGAGTTCTAGAGGAGGGAGTAAATAGCATACGCCTTTGAGGATGAAGACCAGTGCAAATGCACCAATCAGGCCATACCCATCGTCTTTACTAGAATTCTTCTGGCCAACATAGATAGTCAATCTGGATATCAGAAAAGGTTGCGTGTAATCCAGCCCAATTCTCATGAGCCTCGACAGGAAAGAGTAAAAGACCGAAGCTCTGAATGTGCGGACAGCGCAATAGGCTAATGCATTTTCATATGTTTTCGGCACTTAAAATGGTCAGCGAACCCCAGAAACTCAACCTTGTCTGCTACTTACTTGCACTCCATTGCGCTGAGAATTTCCGATGTAATTCGTTTGCAGAAAGAACCCGATCAAGGTACGGCAGTTCCTCGAGGGATATTGACTGCTTGAACCCGAGGAAGAGCAAAGGATTAACCCACCAGAAGAAGGCGCGATTATAAAAGCCCTTAGTTTCCTCGTCGCCATATTGCATGGTTTTGTTCACGAAATAGGCCAGTTTTGGCCTTGTTTCCAGAAAGAACCAGAGCAACTTGACCGCAATGCTCGCTATGTAGAGGGCAGCAAGAACGGTGTACGAGGACAGCCACAGACTCCTTGCACGTACGGCATCAAAGACAATTTTCCATGATAGGAAAAGATTCAGAAGAGAAGAGGGCTGCACAGAATATAGGTGCTCCAGATGTGATAGGAACAGTAGGCCAACAGATGTGATGAAGGTCAGAACCGCAGCTACCAGGGAAGTCTGCGTCCGTGGCGTGTGAGGGAGGAGCCATAAAACTAGAAGTGAAAATTGCAATGCACCAAAGGCTTGAGCCGAAACCTGCGCATAATTAGTTAGCGATAGCTCATTGAGTGACACGACTCACGTACCAGTTTAGCCCAGTATGCCCAGCTTTGAGAGACGATGGCGGTCCGATGTTTCCATAGCTGTTTGTAGCGCAATGGAAGAACAAGGAGAAGTAATGCTGAAGGAGCGATCGAGAAGAAGCATTCTTCAAAAAGTAGGGTGAAGTCGAAGTCCCCTCGGCAGTGGACCACTCGAGGACCGAATCCATTGTCTCCGCAAGTATGGATGTTCTCCATCCTGATGGAATATCAATACTCAGATAAGTGACGAGAGAACGCTAGATGGCAATGAGACTTGGATTGTATGGTAGAAAGTTGAGGTTGGCGGGGGTTGCTGAGATGGAGAGAAGGCTGAGTGTCATGTGGAAGCGAAGCAGACAGTATCTTTAAGGAGCTAATCTCGCTGGCCTATCCGCCTCTTTAGTCTTGGATGGTGTTGCAAATCCAGCAATTAGGTGACTGCGATAAGGTGACTGGGTGAAAAGACCCTTGTCGCAAGACTACTACTTAGTCCCCCCTCCAAACCCATTAATCCACGGTGTGGTGGTAATCTGGGTTCTAGACGGGTCTTAGCCTCTAGCTACTCACACATGTCTGCCTGATACTCCCCCTGTAAGGCTGCTACGCACGATTGAATTCCACCGTTCTTTTTAGGAGACCTCTAATAGGTCTTTAAGCCGTCGGGGCTCCGTACAGCCAAAAATACCTGTATTGACCAACGATAACGCGTGGAGCATTCATATGGAAGCACGTCTTCTCATAGGTAGTAGCAATCATAGCAGTCATGATTGCATATAACCACCAAGTCAAGCAGTCTCATCCACATTATACACCAACTTACACCCCCTGACCTTACCTTCCTTCAAGAGTTTCAGACCTTCAATGACACCCTGCAAGCCTCCAGACCCAAGCTGCACAGGATGAGGAACAACCCTGCCATCCGCCAACAACTTGGCCGCCTTTTCCATCCACTCTGACGCAAAAGTCCGATCCTCCAGTTTCGCAGGGATACGCACATCCCGAAACGTCAACTCCTCACCGAATACCGTATAACCCAGCGTCCAGCGACTGCGTACATCTGCACGAGGCACCTTGCTATCTATCATCGCCGTATAATCACCGCCCTGGGAGCTCATAGCCCGTCCACAAAATGCCGCCGTCTCGTCTGTCGAGATGGTATCCAGCACCAACTTCAGACGATCCTGCGTAACGTCGCGGATCTTGTCAGCCGCCTCGGGATCCTTGTAGTCAAACACATGGTCGGCACCACGGCTCTTCACTAGCTCCTCGGTCTCGGGCGAACACGTCGTAATCACCTCGTACCCGGACAGCTTCGCAAACTGGATTGCCAGAGTCCCTGTGGCCGTCGCACCGCCGTAGACGAGAATCGGTTCCGGCTGGGCCAAAGGATGATCAAACGGTGCGAGCTGCAGGCTTTGGTACAGAGATTGAGCAATGGTGCCCATGCCGACACCTAGGGTTGCAGCTTCCTGGAAGCTGAGGTTTTCCGGTATGGCGCACTGCAGGTCACCTGGAGCGAGGATGTACTCTGAGAATGCTCCATTGTAGGGGAGATTGGGGTTGCAGCCGCGAATGACGCCAAAGACGCGATCACCGGCCCGAAAGGGTTTCGTGACTGCAGGGCCGACGTCTACTACGATGCCGGCGTAGTCACAGCCAACAGTGACGATGGGAGTGCTTCGAAGGGCGAATTTCCAGTCAGTGGGGTTAAGCGCGACGCTCACCACTTTGACGAGGATGCAGTCATGACGGAGGGTAGGCTTGGGCCAGTCGCTCACCACGGAGATAGTCTCGGGAGCAGTGACGGCAATGGCTTTGACCATGGTGGTGATATCTAGGGAGAATGATGCACGGGGCGGGGGAGATTATAGAATGGTTTTGTGTTAAAAAGGTCCTAGAGAGCATGACCGATGATCGAGCCTTATGTATGTATCTGTCGAGAGGGGAAGAGGGAAGTACTTGACTTCTCCGAATCGAATCATGCGGCGACTAGTGAGGAGCTGAAATGCAGCTTCCCGTGTCTCCGAAGTGACCTGCCTGGATTTCTAAGCTGCTCGATCTAATTGCTTCTTCCCCGGTCGGCATATGGGTTCTTCTCAAACGGCGTCTCGGAGTATCTTTAACAGTTTCTCACCTCAGAGCAGTACCCCGCCTACCTGCGTCATCAAAGAGTTGTACGTTATGGACAGGCATCTGACTTCACTTGATGACAGAAATAATATCATCTGACATTTTGACAGTATCCAACAGCCTCGACACATTGGATCGATCGGTATTACAAACTATCAAATACATATCAATAGAACACACAATTAGAATTACACACAGAACTCCTTCCCACCCCAATTATGATTATCCCCAGCCATAGTTCCTGGTCAAGTACTGCCAGGACTTCTTTTTTTCTTTAGATTAGTAGTGAACGTGATGAGAATCGTTAGGTTGGTTTCATCAGTCAAAAATTAGCGCGCTGTGTCCAATTGCATCTCATGTGATATTTGGTCCAGTCGCGCTTTGTCATTCGTTTCATTCCATTCCTGAGAGCGACATTTAGTTCGGTAGACGTGATCCCAGCCCAGGCGGAGAAGCGGATATGGACTACTGTTTAGACTTGAGCCATGCTGGGGCGAGTAACACCGCGAGCAGGACCGGTGCGTCCACGAAGGTTGACACTTGTCTGGCGGGACATGATGATCGACAGAATCATCGAGGCCGTGTAGCCAGCCCAGGCGAACCACAGGAATGCCGTCGAGGCCTGAGCCTCGCGGCAACGCTTCGTGCGGTTATGGGCACCGTTGGTGATTTCGTTGTGGAGCGTGTAGGACTAGAGTAAGTATCCACAAGTCAGCGTTGCCCTAAGATGATAATACTGTAGTGCATCATCTTTTGGGGGTTTTGCGGGACGAAAACTCCACTCTCCACTTTTTAGTGGATAGTTTCCCCGGCTGATAAGGCAGAAAATCATGCACCTATACGTACATCGTTGCTGCAGCTGTGGCATTCCAACTTCGCAGCCAGAGCAATGGCGGCTGTAAGGAACAGGATCGCATTGAGCGTGTCGATAGCGATCAAGAAGATTGGGTGGATGGCCCAGTCAATATTGATAGTCGCTGGGAATAGATAGAAGAGTGTGAACATCGAGAAAGCTGCAACGAACATGGTGTAGTTGATGGTCGACGGGTTCCCAGCGAATGCTTCAGCGATCATGTTACCGATCAGGGCCATGACGAGCAGAGTCCAGAGGAACTGATGGCATTATCGGCGTTAGTCCAGAATTTCCATCTGCGGCACTTGCTTGCTTTGCAGATCCAGCAAGAGCAGGTGCTCATGGCTCGAGAAAGATCGACATACCTCCCAGATCCGTAGACCGAGCTGGATAGCTTTGGCAACCATCTTGGTGGTGTGATTTGTATGATTTGAGTGATGGGTGGTGGTGATTGAGACTTGACGGGGGGAACCGCGCTTGGTGGGTTGTGCAGATTGTAGATTATCGATCTGAATCAGTAGATCCGGCACCGGGAAATTAATGAATCGGGACGAGAGAGCATTAGTTAGAAGGAGTGATAATTATAAGAATAATCATCTCCAGTGCGGGATGATCGGGCAACACGAACGATGACGATATGCGCCGGTCCAGGGATCTGCTACGTCATGCGCCGGCCCGAATCATGAAATCACCACCACTGCTGCACCATTGAAGTTTTCCACCACAGATCGTCCAGCAGGTGGGATGGAGCGGGACAGCGGTCTAGGTGTTTATCTTTTAGCACAGACTCGTGGTCCCCTTATGAACCCAAAGGTGCCCAGCCTGCCGCTGTTGGGCGCTTTTGCAGTTTGCTCCACGCATTCCCCATTCACGTTGAAAAAGAAATGCCTAACACTATTATCTCCAGATTTCCCCTCAAGACGAGCAAACGCTTCGTTTGATACATAGACAGCACCACTCTGCAATCATCACTTCCGAGGTCATCCGAGCATGAAACATCAATGCCGTCACCCATGGGCGGAGCCATTCAAGCTTGTGGTGGGATGCGATCCCCCATTAAGCTCTCCAACCAGTGGGCCGGCAAACTTTAAACGTTGTAGCTGAAAGAGCTTGTCGCTTCTCGACTGGCCAGCATGATGGCCGACCATAGAGCTTGCTGGATTTTCATGAACCACACATGCAGCAAACAGGAGCCAACAGATCCTTGACCGGATGATCTGCTTTGTGCCGCAAGTGTAATTGTTCATTCTCTTCCGGCGGGACATGAGAGGATCCCACCCACACCACGCCTCGGTCGAATAAGCCTGTTCACAAATTCATTAAATAGATAGCAGTCACGATCACAGGGAAGGTGGAAGAAGCAAGAGAGCAGCATCTCCATACCCACCTTCCTATGACGGATAGCCCACCGACTTAGCTCCGGTGGTACAACACCCACAACCAGGCAGCCCGAAGGTCCAGCCCAATCTAAAATCCATCTGTGGCTGTTCCAAAGTCGATCATTTGGGAATGCGTGCCGTATTTCCTGGCTCTGTGTACAAGGCTTCTGGTGTCTTGAAAACTCAATTGGTGCCGATATGATTGTAGGAGATGCTCCGGCTTGATATATCTAGCATGTGGGCAGCAGTTGGCGCATATTTCTCTGCTGAATGGTCAATAAATGTAATAGGGGGGATAATGCTAGCCGGCAATATAGTACCCCAACGAGAAGCCATAGAGACGATCAACTTAAGCATTGATCAACAGGCTTGGCACACCCAGTGCCGAAAGATCTATATAGTATATACCCACCTTCCTGCTGGTAGCCAATCTCATGATGATTGAAGCATCTGGCAATGTTCGTATAGCGGAGAACACTGCCGCTACCACGTTCTATATCTTTGATTCGCTTTCTCTTCTGCGCTTTTGTGCTCGAGTTGCTCTTCCTGGTATACAAGACGTATTCTGGACGTGAATCATCTGACCCTGTTTAGCACTGAGCAAGAAGCAGCATTTGAACGCCTGACAGCCCACGGTGTCTAACAAATGACGATTAACCAGCTAATGAGAGAATACCGAGCTAGACTACTGGCAACATGAAGGGCAGGTTAAGTCCAATGTCGTCCCCAAATAACCATTACAACCACCCCTCACCGACGTCTCCTAAGAAAGTACACAACTACACCCGATCACCCTTGGAAGCAAGGAAGTAACTCACTGAGCAGGTAACTCTACCCGATTACGCTAATGGCTCTCAAGCAGATGTATCCATACATCTTAGGAAACGACCAATCCTCACTTGAGAAAATATCAATGTTCCTGAGAGGAATGGATGATCAACACTATAGACACAATAGATGCAGAGGGAAGAACAGGAACCCCCACTCACCCTTCATCTTCCCCTTTGGAAAAACCAAGCATCACACGTGAGCGTTCTTCAGACGCAGAATTAGATTCCTCTCATCTAGTAGGGTAGTACAATATCTACATATGCAACACGATATACCACTGCATCACCCCTACACACTTAGATTAATACACCATCCATTCCTGAACAACCACATCTAAAGACCAACCAAACAGCCACATATCCATTGCTCTACCTCATAACATTAACAATAACATTTATGTTCCACAACGCACCTACTAGCCCACAACTCCTGCACACGTACCGAAACAGCCGGCAGAAGCAATCAAACTACCTAGGCTCTACTCAACCCATTCATTTAAGCCTAGGCTCACAACGCCCGAAAGTTAAGCCTTCCAATTGCCGAATCATCTATCCCGCCTGAACTACTACTCGATTCGCCACTGTCATAAGACGACCGTCGTCCTAGTAGTAATCCAGGGTGGATCCATACTTCACCAAAGCATGGAAATCCACACAGGCAGCTTGGAATAGATGGGTAGAGAGCCAAACGGCAAACCCGGCAAGGGAATACAGGATACAACCACCCCAACCAAAGAAAATAAAAAATAAAAAAAAATAAAAAATATAGCAAAGGGGGGGGATTTCCGTCCCACTTGGGTCGTGATGTCATCGCTGTCGTCTCGGGAGAGATCCCCGGCAAAGCAAGCACGCAAAGCAAAGCAAAACAAAAATATTGAATGAAGGTACCGGGAAAGGTGGATGGCAGTTACCAGTGACTACTGGATTAATCTCATAGGGTAGGGATATACGAGGAAGAACTATATATAAAGGTGGTAGTGGTGGTCAATATCTGCATACTTTGCGTGCGACTGAGATTCAAGTTGAAACCTAAATAAAATTCCATATCACGGTGATTGTCTCATTCACAGAGCATAACTATCTCCATCTCACCTCTCATTCCATCCCATATCCACCTCTAAAAGTATCCGTATCCAAATCCAAATCCATCATGCCAGTCGTTCCTTCGCTGAAAGACACCCCGTTCGACACGGACATTCGCGACCGTCATTTGATATATGATTACGCCGCGCAGGACGCCCAAGGAAACCCCGAGAAATGGCGCTATGAAATGTGGTTTTATAACGAGGACCGCATCGTCTACGCCATCCATGGCGGTCCCATGGCCGGCCGGAAGAACTTTCAAATGGCCACGTACCAGTGCATTCGACCGGGCGAGCTCTGGCAGTGCAATTGGCTGGAGGAGACCGGCACCATATGTTCGCTGGTGTACGACATTCCACGGAAGCGCATCACCACGTTGCTGGGCTTCTCCAAGGGACATTGGGAGGAAGCGGAGGCGGCTCACGGCGACAAGCGGAATGCGAAGGATCTAGAAAGATGGAGGGGGTTGGCCACGATTGGCAAGCAAACGGATCGGAAGCTCCTGAGCGAACAAGCAGACATCCTCGAGGATTTCCGAGGCCCTGGTGATTTGGAGCCGATTGACATGGAATGGCCGACATTATAGGCGAGGCAAGTTCGCGGGAACGTACGCACCGCAAGAGGGGTTATGCGGTTGAATGAGAATTGATTATAGGAGAAAGGAGGTTTAATATGGTGGTTATTTTGAAATGGTATTCTATTTTGTGCTTAGTTCGCAGATATCTGGTGTACCCTTTAGAATCTTGACGTTTAACTAGCAAACATGCAATGCTTGTCTCGTTTATGTCTTCCTTTCAATTGGGTGTTACATGGGTTACCCCCTTTTGTGCATCTGTATGAATCCACCGGGGTTCACGGAGGGGAAAGAAGTCGGTCGGATTTTAGAAGACATCAGGTGTCGGGAGCCGAGTCATCATCCGTAACCGTTGGCCTTTCCCTCAGATGTCTTCGCAGCGGCATATATCACAGCAGCTGACCTCTCAATGACTGACGGGATTATTCACGTCTGTCGCAGTATCATGTCACCAATCTTCGGGTGCCTCGTTTCTTCCTGTCGAAGTGCATCACAGAGCTGTGTCATATAATGTCCGGTAAGGGTGGGCACCCTGCTGTTCGTCGAAACCAACCCAGGTCAGGCACAGCTCGTGCCGAGAAATCTCAGTCAATGTGAGATATTTCTGGTGTAATAGAATAGTTGGTGGGTGATCTCCAAAATTGTGACGGGCATATTCCTTGCGTTCATTCTTGTCGGCTTATTTGCCAGAAAGGCGGGGTGAATCATAGGTCAGGAACCTTGACTTGACGACGAACTGCCCGATGACGGGGCCTGAGTGCAAACGAGCTCTAATTGTATATCATCCACATATTTGGGGGGATGGCCGTTGTAGGATGGAGCTCTGCTAATAATGGCAACTGCAACTTGAGCTGCTTGGTCATTGGCAGTCATGTTATCAATGAACCAAGTCTTCCACGGTTCACTGCTAGACCCGGACGTTTGGAGGGTTGCAACTCGTGTGATATCGGTTTCTTGAGCAAAAGCTTTCTTTAGTCAGTACAAGAGACTTAATAAAAAGAGGTATAACAAAAACCGGAGCCAACATACAAATAGAGGGAATGGCAGCGACGTCGAATAGAGGTGGAGGGCAATTGGAGAGTACGGGCTGGTTGATGAGCATCTCACTCAACACCGTATCCAGAGGGTCATCGTAGTAGCTTCCACTGGTAGTGAGTCCAAACAAGGCCTGCTTCAACATAGTGATCAAGTCGTACGAGCACTGTGCGCCCCACACGCCATCGCAGCCATTGTTGGAACCTGACGGCGTTCCGGTAAGATTTCCCACCCGCAAGGCAATCTCGGAGGTGCGGTTGGAGTTGATAACAGAGTTATTGAGATGAGCACTGTATCCAAGCCAGAAGCTGACTTTAGTCATAGGTTCCTGGCCTTTTCCTCGAGAGTTGGCATCAAATCCATAGTAGAGGTTGAGGCTCTCCTCAAACAGAGGCGGGAAGTTGAAGGAGACGGCAGTCTGAGCCAGGGCATCAAGACAGCTACCACTCCAAAATGAGCAGAACTGAGCTATTGCGGGCGATCCGAAAACAAGCAATAGAACGAAGGCATTTACACAAGATCGGAGGACTGCCCCCATTCCAATAGGGCCGGCCATTTGGTACCACGAACGGTCGGAAATCGTGCTGAGAAGAGAGACCGATCTGCTTCACAGACACAATAATGATTTAATGGGATCCGTTGAGCGGGTGAAGACCATGCTCATAACCGTGATTCGGTGTATATCAAGGTCGATTAACAGGCGGTGGGATAGGTGGTCGCTTGGAAATGATCAGGGTCGGGAGGCGGCCGCCTGAATCATGCCAGAACTGGATTTGCTATAAACGCATAAAAGGCGCGGAACAAGACGGATTCGCAGAAGTCCAAAGCTGTCGTGTATAATTCTCGAAAGTGTATAAGACGTGTTCAATTCGGTTATTCGCTTGTTATGGGCAGTAGATATGTGTAGGGTTATTCGCGTTCGCAGCCGCGACGATCGGGTGCAGGAGTCGCGACAGACAGGGCGGCAGGCTGACGGCTTATCGGTAGATATGGTAGGGAGGTAAAGGAGGTACTCGTTCAGAATTGAAGGATACTTGAAGGTTATCAAGTCAAGGCTGGAAGAACAGACCGGGCCGTGGGGGTTCTGGCGGTTGGCAGACTGCTTAAATTGTCCCTGGCGCCAGGGTCTCTGTTAGAAATGATAGGGAGGGGGTGGTGGTGGTGGTGGGAGGTGATGAGCGACGGTCAATGATGGGTGTGTACGGAGCGACAGGGGCCGATGGTCGGTTGCGGAGAAGGAATCAAGCAGAGGTATTTAGCCAGAGCGTGAGAGTGAGAGAGGGGGTAAGCATAAGGTAATCAGGGTGTGATTGCCAGTAGAGAGAGGGAGAGTGAGTGAATTAGTTAGCAGTAGTGAGGAATTGGAGGTCAAGTCGGAAGGAGTAGTAGTAGTATGATGCTGCTCCGTCCTGGACAGATTATTCTTTTCTTGCCAGGGCGAGTTGGACTGTCTTGCCCGTGAAACAAGGCGTGTGGATACGCATGGGGATTGGTCCAAGGTGCCTGGCTTTCGGTGACTCCCTGACTTCCCAGAATCCTCGAGGCATTCTTGGCGCTGCCCGGTCACCGACGCTAACTGGCAGCCCCCGCATACCTTGTGCCGAATGCGGTAATTCCGGAGGGTAATCCCGCCCAGGGTCGCAGCAGGGAGCCAGTCACAGGGCCCATTCACCACATATTTCGGGACTGGCGCCGCTCCTCCTCTCTCCTCAGGGGCCAATAGACTCGCTTATGTTCCAGCCACCATCGTAACTAGGAGGTTAGGTGGTATTTTATTTTCTTTCTTCCCACGCCCAGTGACAGTCAGAAAACGCGTCTTTAGTTAAATACTTACTGAGTAACTAATTATTTAGCTGTGCGCCTGGTGAGATTTCCTTTCTGACTCAGGGTCCAAGTTGTCTCCATATAACTAGCTAACCAACAAGATACTAGTAGTTAATCTGTAGTGCTGATGAGCAGCGTCGGTGTGAACCTGCTCGGACTGCTGTTCTGTGTACGGTCGGTATCTCGTATCTCAGGTATTGTGTGGTAGTTCATACCAAGCCCCGTATTGGAACCAGCGTTTGACATGATTTCTTCTGATTATTTTTATGATTATTATCCTTATTCTTTACGGTTTGGGAAACACTATGATCTTCCGGTTTCAGGGTCTGGTCACTCAATCCGACTAATAATATTACTTATCTAATATCTGCCTGACTATAGTGGCCGGTAGCGGGTCCTAATCACCAACTGGTGATAAATTACAATTTCTTTTTTTGGGACGCTAACTAAAACGCTTTTGGCTTTTTCCATCATCATCCGGACCCTCCGGTGACATCGAGAATGCTTCAAGACCTGCCTTTCGACTTATTCGGAGCTCCTTCCGAACACATATGCTCGATGATTTGTCCATCTCCATTTCCCACTTTTCGAGGAAGTAGTCAAGGCTCAACACATTGGTCTCACCAACCCCCAATAATCAATTCCCTGAGAGCACAACAGTACAGTACAGTAGAGCGGATAAAGTCTGCTCGCAGGGGGATATTGAAGGACCGGCACATTTAATCTACACTTTACAGTGGACAGCTTGTGAATAATTATTGACACTTCGGCCGAATTGTCCACTAACCCAATTTGGTCCTGTCGCCCGTGAACTTTTCTGGCCTTACTTTCATCAATCCCTCGTGTTCTGCGGTAAACGTCGAACAAGCTTTTTCCATTCATCTGATAGTAGTTTATAGGAGAATTCTGCAGAACCCTGCTGAGCTGTTGGATAGGCTACACTAGCAATTGTGGATGACTACCGGCGTGTGTTCAGGTCTCACGATTCTTTCGGCCTCGGATCCGCCTACTCAGTTCGTACACAACGGTTCCCGAAACTACCAAAGACTAGATGCTCTCAGTCTGATACCTGGTATTTCCCATTAACCCACTCACCCACGCCTCGATTACTATGTTTCCGGGACAGATTAATTTACCCCAAGTACGGTGAGTCTGCCAATATCTGAGCAGTCAATGGTTATATGCCAACCGCACGTGGCTAGCGTATCGGCATATTGGCCTTTCCCTCGTCTACTACTAGTATAATATTGCTTTTGCCAATCAATGCGCCCAGTCTCGGAGGTTTTTTGCTGCATGGCGAGTTGTGATAAATACCTACTCGAACAAGCATGGCTAGAATATAGTGAGTTCAGCGATACAGCCCAGAGCTCAGGCCATGCCCGCAGGGTCTCGCTGTAACGAGAAACGGACTCAACACGGGTAAATGTCGGATGTCCGAACACCCTTGACTTTGTTATGCTTTAGGTCAAGTGTGATGGTTGCCGGAGGAGTCACTCTGAAGCACGCCGCTGGTAGAGAGAGGCCCAGATATCGCACCAATGGTATTGGGGGAAGACCCATAGGCCAATTAATCAGAGTGATATTATCGGAATAGGTGAAGTGAGGTGAGGTTATTAAGTGTCCATACAGCTAGCCAGCAAGACAAGCTGACCCGAGGCTAGCTATAACCTATCATGGCTTTCCCAAATTCTCGGCATAATCATGAATGCCAGCGAGCTATAGATTTACCTTTTGATCTACAGGATGGTTGAGCGTGGCTGGTGATCCTACCAAAGCTACTTACTGTAGCGGTAGCTGCCGATGTTACCAGTTATCAGAACCAAGCAACTCAAGACGTCAACTTTTGTATCACATGCTACTACAATGTCAATCATCCACTCTATCCGATAGATGAGACGATGTCTGGAACGGTAGACCGTTTTCCATTGCAAAAGCACAAAGAGGGGGGTTTGTTGATTGTCGGAGAACCGTTAGTTAGCCTGACCGATACGACTAGCGCGGTCCCTCGGAGAGATCCACTTTCCCTTCAGTAACTACTAGATACTAGTGGTCCCTGATACACTCAGTCGACTCAACTCACAGGCACACCACACTAGTAGCCATCTACTAAACTAACAGTACTAAAGTAGCCTGCCCAACTTAGCGTCTTAGCCAGCAAAGTCCCTGATTTTCCCTCCTTCCCCCTGTTGCGATGGGGTTCGACCGACAAAAATAATTCCATCCAATGGTTAGTTAGTTAGCTAGACAATACTTACTAGTGGATTTTTCGGGGTTGCACTTTTGGGGTTCTTTTCGACCATCGTAGCTAAGGAACAAGGGCCACTAGTGGCCGCTATGAAGATTTCCGAGCAATGAGCACCGTTCCTTGAATGGAACCCCCGAAATTAATTCATTTGGGTTTGTTGCTTTTTCGCTCAACACCCCCACCTCTCTCTCTCGGGCTCTCTCTCTTCAGTCTTCATAGCTCATCGTGTGCTGTTGTTGGGTCGGCTATTGCCGCTGTTGCCACCAGTGGGTAGGTGGGTAGGATTTGGTTTTTTTGGGTTCGCTTTCGCTTGCGGAAAAAGTCTCTGTTTGTATGCATGCATGCAATGTACGTAGGTAGCGATCGATTGCATACCATTTTCACTTTCTTTCATTCTTCATTCATCGCTTGGTACACACACTCCCACACCCCTGTACAGTTAAGAAGAGGCGTGTGATATGTCTACTACCTCACTACTCCAGTTATAAAGTGGTCAGACACTGCTTATCTCACTGCAGGTGAACAGGCAGAGAAATAGAAGCAGGGAATTAATAAATTCCAAGCATTCCGTCCTCCCCAAAAGAGTTTGTGATGGGTCGCAGTCTACCCTAATTGGAAAAGAAAAAAAAGAAAGAAAGAAAGAACAAGACCCTCGGTGGCGGCTTTTTTGATTACTTCCCATGTGGAATCAACCCCAAGCTGACACTTCCTTTTTCCCTTTTTCACTATGGAAAGTGGTTGAACTAACAACTAACTTGGACTGAAATTGATCCCTGGTTTTTAGAGCCACCATCAGTACTTACTACTTTAGTGTCTACCACTAATCAACCAACCAACCCGGCACCAACTCGAGGGGCCCAAGCGGCCAGTAAATACCAAGTAGTCAAGATAGCAGCACTACCTACTCCGTCACTTCGTAGAATTTAACTATTGTTTCGCATTTGCTGCTTGCCAATTTCCTCTCTCAACTAAACTACCTAAACTATGATGTCTTTCCAAAGAAGGAGGTGGGGTTGCGGAATTTGTTCAACCTTTTTCTTTTTCCCCCCATTCCCTAGTAGTAGTTAGTTCCCTTTTTTCCCATGGACCGAAGGGATGGATGGATGGGTGGTGGAAAAAAAATATGCAATGACATCAGTGATGCCCATCCCTGATCACCCACGACGAACCCGCATTCCAAACATCCGCGATCTTCTCTTATAGGAATAGTCTGAATGCATCATTTCTACTACGTACTACATACTTACACAGTAGGAGGCACACACTCTCTCTCTCACTCACTCACTCTCTCTCTCTCTCTCTCTCTCTCTCTCTCTCTCTGTCTGTTGGTTTACCACCTACTTACTTAGTTACACTTAGTTACCATACCATGTGCAACCAACCACAGGTCGCATAGTATACTCAGTCAGCCGACAATCTATTCGTTAATGTAATAAGTAGCAATGAAATCTGTTCCCTTCAAGAAAAAGGGTTCATTCATGCATTCATTCATTACATGCATGCACATGGGGAGCTAAGAGTCCAGTCCCAGTCCTAGTCTACCCCTCTCCTCATAATCCCATCTCATCCCATCTCATCCCGTCTCCCAGGATCAGGATCAATTAAATGAAATGCCATCCATGTATGTACGTAGTACTAACTATGCGACAATACTAATGATGTCTATGAGGTCATCCATGATCCATCCGGAATGCCCTAAATAACTAACTTACTAACTACATACATTCTCCAACCATCCATCTGCCTGCCTGCCTGCCTGCCTGCACTATCTGACTGACTCGCTCTTTCGCTCGCTCGGCCAACCAAAGCAAGTGGGCTGGCTCTCTCTCGGGTAAGGTATGCTTGCTTGCTTGCTGCCTAGTCAATCGCGAACCCCCTACCCATCATATCACCAAGTAACTAAAATTAAAATTTAATTTATTCTATTTTATTATTATTAACAAACAGTTCGTTTCCCAAATCCATTCACAGCATACCTAAATGCCAATGGTCATTAGTAGATAGATCCATCATCCGGCTCTTGGCTGCCTAGTCAAGCTAAGGGGAAAGAAAGAAGGAAGAAAACTCCTCCTGTTCTTCACACTTCCTTTCGCTTCGCTTCCGGTTCGTTCGAAGAACTCACTCATTCAGCCTCGGGATTCTCGGAAGTGCGTGGGTGAGGGACTACTTTGGGACTCATTCCGGAATACCTTCCCCCCCTAAGTTCCTCTCCTCTTATCGTGATATTATAATCGGGTCTTAGCATGGTAGTATAGTACTTACTACAGGTAGGTACTAAGTTCAGCAGCTGCCTAATGCTGCCAAGTAGGAGTATTTTCCCAAAAACCAATTGGACCATAGTTGGTTTCTTCGGTTGGAGGTTGCCTGTGGATTCGAGCTTTGCCTTTGTCGGATTGTCTCCCAACGTATTGAGTCGTTATAAACATATCGATGAGACAGGGACATCTAAGGAGTCAAAGAAGACGAGATGGGGAGCTCATGCCCCAATTTCATATTTGCTGTGGAGTCGTAACTAGTTAGCGGGTGCTAAATACTACTATGGTACTATAACTTCCTATGTTCGTTGCTTTCCCTTCGTATCCTGATAAGCACATGCAAAAGGTAACAAGTGCAAGTCTACGGGTTCCGTCTGCAAAAGGCCCTCTATACGAGGTCGCGTGCCTTGGAGATGTTTCTCACAACCCCTTGACCTATTCTCCCTTTGTCTGGGTTTCTTCTGCCTGATCTATAGAAAATAGATCCCACAGTATACTTTCATCGACGCTGCAGAGTCGAGGTGTGCCTCAGTCTCTCCAGTGCTTCAGCGCGCTCTCTGAGTACTGACGCATATCCCTCGATCGTTTTCATCAACCGGCGAATCTTTTCCATTTCTCGGGCCCGATTCTTATTCACAATAGAAACCAATTTGCGTGCCGTTTCAACCTCGGCCACCTCCATCTCTGTCAACCCACGTGTCTGGCGAGACAGGTGGCTGTTCTGAAGGTTCTTTGTAATGTTGGTAACCTTGGTGACAGCTTTTACCAGGGGTAGCATAAATATCATGTGCGACGTAAGCCAGGAAGCATTTTCAGGTGTAGCGCCTCGATGGCCAAAGACCACGTCCATAGCCGCCGCCCGCTGCGTAAACCTCTTGAGACTATGAGCTCCCTGGGGCACCGGCGCCACGTTCTGCTCCCAGTCGAAGTACGGTAGCTTCATACCATTGCTATCCCCTTCGTTGCAGGAACGGTCACCATTCTTATACTCGGTGTCTTGTCTCGTCTTCATCTCCTTCCAAGTCTCATACATCCACAGCTCTTGCGATGTCAGCTGGCTCATGGCCACGCTCTCCGGGTCGCTTTTTGATGGGTATGCTGCTAGTTTTAGTCCCGTGAATAGTGCGAGACTGTTTCCTTGCTCGACTATTTTAGCTAGCTCTTCAAGCTTCGTGCAAGTCGTTTGAAGATCATCCGTCTCGGTAGGCACAGGTAGGAATCTGAAACCCTCGCTTACTTGTGTACCGTCCGCAAAAGGCGTAACCGGATCTTCATATTCACGCTTCACTCCATGGCGTTCTGGTGCTATCTGAGAATCAAAAACGCGTACCCCACGCGTCGGTAGTTGCCGTTCCATCTTCCGGTGTCGGGTCTAATCTATGTAGGGATTCCTGGGGTGTTTGAATGCGGACGGTCTGAAGAGACAGGAACCGAGATAGTACAACAGCTTATGAGCCAGCTGGAATAAATCGTTTCATGTTAGTTCCTGAAGAAGGTTCATGGGCTCGTGTTTAGTCCGCAGGGGTCACACCAACTGTCATCCAGCTGTTCAAGGAGTTCCTCACGGAAAGGATACCACGTTCTGGTTCAGGTAGTGGTCACGTGCAATTCCAGACCGTTCGTCTCTGATTATTGGCCGTGGTCTCCCTGCAATCAATCAATTGTAGTCCCTGCTGGCGAGCCTCGATGGCGTCCGGCAGATTGTCTCGCGGTATTTGCTTGCCAGAGGATCTTTCAAGGGTGAGAGACAATCTTCCGTGAAAGGATGGTCGGGCAGAAGTCAAGATGAAGTATCAGTGAGGGAAGTGTAAACCGAACAGGGCTTTCAAAGAAAGCCAATGTGGTCGTCTTGGAAGACATGCAACTACAGGAAATAGAAGCAAGTGAAAGAAGTAAATGTGAATTGCATCGATATTGTACAGAGGTGCAACCGAATTCAGCAAGAGTATCCGACTGGCCGCCCTTTCCTAATATACACAAGGTTTTGATCCGTGACGTTTCTCGTTGTATATATGGTGAGATAATATGCAGGTGTCAAAATAGTCAGCAATTTCAGAGTATAACCCTGAATGAAAGGAAAAGAAAAGTTTCAGAAGGGTAGGAGATTGTCCGTCAAAAGCAAGAAAGAAATGAGAATCCCCCAAAAACGCCAGAGCTCCACGCTTGAATGTCGCACATATATTTCCCGTGTTGGTCGCCTTTTCTCCAGTTCGATGAGAAGTTCGAAATCAATTGTCGTCATCTTGAATAGACGCGTGCCCATGGCCGGAAAGCCAAACTCGCTTCCAGGGACCGCCCTCAGGCCCGAACGCTGCCTCCCGATCTTGACGCATCCCTTCGAGAACACCTACGATACCGCCATTGCGCAAGCGCTCAAGGACCACGTTCATACCCTGCTTACTCTTGAGCACGGCATCCCGAGTGCGGTTCAATCCAATCAGCTCAATCGTGCGTTGGATTCCCGCAGTGGACAAGGAGGTGAAAAGGCCTCTTTTTGGAGCTTCTTCCTCGTAATCACCGGTGTGATCGCTACTCGGCTCCGTCTTCCTTCTGCCTAGCAGTTTTCCTTGTCCGAATTTAGAGCGGAAAGTGACTGTAGTGCGCACCGTAGTCTGCTCGCTTTTCTTGTCATCGAGGGAAAGCCCTTCCAGAGTGCCGAGCGGACCTTCGGGTTGACGCTGGTAGAATTGCTTCTCGACCACGCTCAATATCCCAGTCCATTCCATGTTACGAGATTCCGTCTGCATCCAGCCCTCTTTGGCGTCCACAACAGTCGTTTCGAGGATATAGCTCTGGCCGGAATTGTCTGAGCCGCCAATCCCCTTGGGGAGGAGTTTGAGGATTCCCGAGGGAACCTTGGATTTCTTGAGGAGGAGGCGAGTGGTGTGGAGACGCTGAGTCGTCGGATCGACATAACGGTCAATGACATCGGTGGTCAGCACATGGCGAGAATATGGGTTGGGATAGCGAAGGAAGTAGGCCAGCGACACGGCCGGGAAGGAATAGTCGTAGGTGAAGACATTCTCGAAGAATTTCATAATTGCGAATGATGCATACAGAGTGGATCGGATAATTGGAATGAGGAAGTCACACCAACTTGGGGAAGAGAGAGGATGGAACTGGAGCACAGGGTGGCGTTGGGGATGCTGCTTGGTTTAAAGTGAACTGCAGTGCTCGCCTGCTCAATCGCCTTTCTCAGTGGCCGGACGAATCTGCCCGAGCCTCCGACTGGGAAGAATTTCTGTCAGCTTCTGGCCGCTCGCCGCTAAGCCTGTTTGGTAATGCGGGGATGGGCCGGTGCATCATCTGATTGTCTCCCGTCTGGCCAATCATCATGTAGTACTTAGTAGTCCTCTTGGTTTTCTTCAGCTACAAAGCACTACTATAGACCAGGACTGCGTGGCAGACAGCAAAGTCTTTGCTGATCCTCGTATGATCATACCTGCGGTATCGAATTTCTGACGTCAGGACAAGCACCCTGCTTGTGATAGTAGTATTATTCAACACACAACGGACTACCAGCCAATCTTCCATCATCTTATATATTCGGGTTGTATACGGGGAATAACAAGAAGTATCATCACCTTGAACTATTCACTATTCCACAAATACTGTAGTTCCAGCAATAGTGTTTAGTAGTACTAGTAGTATAACTTTAAGTACTTCAATCACTAACCATAACTACTACTAGTGCCGACTTGTGACGAAACGGAGGAGCCATGACAGCCAAGCTTTTTGGTCCTAGTACCAGTATAATTAGTAGTAGTAACAGGCTAACAGCAGAATACTTAATAGTAGTACCCACTGCTAGTCACACTCAATTGTATAGCATACTAGAATGAGGGGTAGTTACTCGGTAGTACTACTACTGTAGTAGTGAGCACCCAGTTCGGACTCCACAAAGGTACTAGCATAACTTCAACAGTGCTCTGCCTGTACTATTTATGCTCCATCTCATAACAACCTTTCGTCATAGTAGGGTGCAGTACAGTCATACGTGGCCCTGCAATATAATGACAATAGGTGCGGAGCACTATTTGGCGCTTTTATGCATAAGATGTGTCAACAAGTGTGACACATGTCTGCAAGCTCATACGCCTACATGACCGATAGGGAAATCCTGGTCTCTCACAAGGTCGGGGCCCGAGATATCCGGGTGTTATCCTCAACTTTACTCGGAAATCCTTCTATTGTCTGGCTTAGATAGACGTTAGGCATGTGGCTCGTCGATTCCCCTTAGTACAATCTGACCGCGGATGAAACCTCGGACACCATTGCTGAGCCAGCACTCCTCGCCATCCATCAGGTCAGTAGCTGCAATTGTATCCTCAGCGCAGAATCCCTGTGCTAAAGCATATTGTCTCGTTGTACCCGCATTGCCACCGCTGGAAAGCGGCGGTGTAATCCAAGCTGGCTTTCCCTCCCCATCCGTCGTATCTCGTCGCCTGAAGTATGGTGTTGTAATGCTTCCTTCCATGATCTCACCCGCCGGGTTTACCAGAAGTACTTCCGCAGGCTCTACAAAAGAAACTATTCCCGATCGGAGTCGTGCAGCTGTGTAGAAGTCCCGAGCCGTAGTCTTGTGTGTGGTGAAAACGGATGGGGATATGCGTTCGGAATCAATGTATACACGCCAGACAGTGGACTGAAGGTTCGTTTCGGTAGGAGTTAGATAATTCAGCGGATTCATGGACGTCGTCGGGTTGACCTCAACCTCGCAAGTGCCCGCGCTATCGAGGAGAATTCGGAGGCGCCATGGCTTGGTGTTGTCCGGAATGAAGGTGTTAAGAAACTCGACGAACTGATTCGTGTCTTGATTCAGGAAGGCGAGAGCCTTTCCCCAGCTGAAACATGCCGCTGCATTTCGAAGGCGTTCTTGATGGTAAGGGAGGAGATAATACGGTGTGGTCAATGGATCGGGTGTTGTTCTAGTCGCTGCCCGCTTGCCTATCGTTGAAAGAGCAGGATCGTAGCGTAGAGACGATATGATTTTGAACTCCTGTGGCAGCACTTCCGAGGCCATTTTTTGCCGTCGCGGCAATTGCGACCGAGGGTAGTAGACAAGACAGTTGTAAGTATGAGCTAGACAGAGCACCGAGCTGTTAGCAAGTGATAGCCGTGCTGTTGGCACCTCGGCACATTAAACGGTCGCACACTAGAAAAAGGGGGTTTGCGCATTTGAGAAGATTAATTCGCGCCAGCCTGAGCTATGTGAGATGGTCATGATCCCAGCACAGAAGACGACACATTGGTCCCATTTGCCTTGGAATCACGGATGATGATGTTGTGGAGAAAGCAGGAGCTGACGGAGCCCATCCCCTTGCGGCGAGTGTGATTGGCCCAAACCAGCTCGGAAAGCCCGCTGCGTCGCCGGAACCTGAACATCGCAACGCATAACTTTTCAAGCCGCATCTCTCCTCGCTCTCTCCCAACCCCAAGACAAGTTGTCCGCCCTGCCGACAAGCACTTGCTCTGCACTCAGGACCGTCCGTACTCCCTATCAATTCCATCCCAGGCCCATTTGCTGTCACGATGCTGACCGAGCTCCCTCTGTAGATTCATAGGAAAAGCGATAAGAAGACGGGTTCCTCTGTCGGGTCATCATGTCAAGCCAATCGCCATTGCCCCAGCCTACGAAGAACGTCGTTCTTGACACGACTTCTCTTCCCCCATCTTCATCAGCATCAGTTTGGGACCGCATCTCGAAATGGGTGTCGGAAAATAAGGCCCTCGTTTACACCATTGCCGGTGTTGCTGTGGTCGTGACCAGCGCGGGTGTCGTCTACTACCTCTCCGACTCAGGTCGGACTACCCCGGCCCCTTCCACAGAGAAGAAGAAGAGCAAGAACCAGAGAAGAAAGGAGAAGAAGAAGGCAGAAGAAGAGAAGAAGGCCAAGGCTGCTTCCGTTCAAGAGGGTATGTTGAAGAGAACCACACTCTGCCTCTCCCGTCGACAAGCATCCGATTCGGGCTGACGATCTCCTTAGAGCCTGCCGCAAAGAAGACGGAGGAAGCCACTGAAGAACTCCCAGAAGTTGACGAGGAATCCGTTGCACAGCTGTCGGAAGAGGTAAGTCTTTGGCCTTTTACGATGGAAACACCTTCGGTCGCCGATACCGCAAATGCTAATACCGGATTCAAAGACAAGGAAGGCTTACGCAGCCAAGCTCAAGGCTGCTGGAAACAAGGCGTATGGCTCCAAGGACTACAACAATGCCATTGAGCTCTACGGAAAGGCCATTCTCTGCAAGCCCGATCCGGTCTTCTACTCGAACCGTGCCGCCTGCTATAACGTTCTGTCGGAGTGGGAGAAGGTCGTCGAAGATACCAGTGCCGCTCTCGCCATGGACAGTGAGTACGTCAAGGCCCTGAACCGGAGAGCCATTGCATACGAACACCTGGAGAAGTTCAGCGAGGCTCTTCTTGACTTCACTGCCAGCTGCATCATCGACGGCTTCTCCAACGAGATCAGCCGTGTTGCTCTGGAAAGACTCCTGAAGAAGGTTGCCGAGAGGAAAGGAAAGGCCATTATCGAGGCGAAGGGCAAGAAGCTCCCTAGCCCGACCTTTGTTTCGAACTATCTCCAGAGCTTCCGCCCCCAGGCACTGCCCGAAGGCCTTGATGAGTCTGCGGATCTGAGCGACGACTCCGGTAAGGGTCAACTCCGCAAGGGTCTGCTTGCAATGGCCCTGAAGACTGGTGATGGCTACGAGGAGGCTGCTTCTGCCTTTGAGAAGGCTCTGGAGCTCGGAGACTTGGGTGAATACGAAGCCCTTGCTCTTAACCTGAGAGCCACCTTCACCTATCTCGAGGGTAACGCTCAGGCCGCATTGTTGGATCTCAACAAGAGTGTCGAGCTGCAGCCGTCGTTGGTTCAGAGCTACATCAAGCGTGCCAGCTTGCACCTCGAGCTCGGTATGTTAAACGCCCTTTTCGTTTGGTAGATGCTTTGCTGACAATGTCCCAAAGGAAACAAGGACGCCGCTGCCGACGACTTCGAGCTCGCCATCACCCACAACAAGGATGACCCCGACATCTACTACCACCGCGCCCAGCTTCACTTCATCCTCGGAGAGTTCGCCGAGGCTGCTAAGGATTACCAGAAATCTATCGACCTCGACCGTACTTTCATCTACTCCCACATTCAGCTTGGTGTTACGCAGTACAAGATGGGCTCCGTTGCGTCCGCCATGGCCACCTTCAGAAGATCCGTGAAGAACTTTGAAGAAGTGCCTGATGTCTACAACTACTACGGTGAGCTTCTCCTCGACCAGCAGAACTTCTCGGAGGCAATTGAGAAGTTCGACAAGGCCGTGGAGATGGAGAAGCAGAGCAAGCCTATGGGTATTAACGTCCTGCCCCTGATCAACAAGGCTCTTGCCTTGTTCCAGTGGAAGCACGATTTCCAGGAGGCCGAGAACCTCTGCCAGAAAGCTTTGATCAGTAAGTCTTGCGAAAGTTCGCTGTATAGTGGAGAGATCTTGGAACACTAACCGGCTTGCAGTCGACCCCGAATGCGATATCGCCGTAGGAACGATGGCCCAGCTTCTGCTGCAGCAGGGCAAGGTCTCGCAGGCCCTCAAGTACTTCGAGCGCGCCGCTGAGCTTGCTCGTACCGAGGCGGAGATTATCAATGCCATCTCCTATGCCGAGGCCACCCGCACGCAGCTGGAAGTCCAGGAGAAGTACCCCCAGCTTGCTGCCCGTCTGCAAGGCATGGGTGCTGGCTTTGCCCCCCCTCCCTCTCTGTAAGATTGAGTCCTGATATATCTTCATTTACACCCGTCAAGACGCCAAAAGACGTGTACGACCTAATCTATTTCCCCTCATTCTCTTCTGTCTTGGAATTCGGTGGTTGAAGCGTGGCAGGCCGTAGCTTATGCCTGGTCTGCTCTGGTAGGTGCATGGGCGCCTGAACCATTCATCTGTGTGTATTTACTATAAGGACTTCTTTTCTTTTCCTTTTTTTTCTTTTTATGTCTCGATTTATTTGACGTCCTGGATCTTTTATTTTCATTTTGTGCCGATATACTGTTTTATCTCCTGTTGCGACCGTGTTTCCACTTTTTCTGTTTGCGAGATGGTTTTTCTCCCCCCTCTCTGTTTGTCTCCAAGCTCTCTCCATTGGTTCTGGGAGGGGGCACACTGGGCTCTTTTATCGAGGAAGAAATGCGGGCATGATGAGAGATGAGAGAGGTCTGCGGACCGGAAGATACACATATACTTTCTATCCGGCATGTCGGTTTGGGAAGAGGGGCAAGCACGAGCGATGTATGTATGTACCATAGTATAGGGAAAGCCAAGTGTGGGATGAAGAACTTCAAGTCAAGAAAGAGTTAAAGTAATGGTGACAGGTCGGGTCAAATGATGGGGGAGATACTAGATGGCAAGTCACTGGATCACCATTTTGAGTAACTTCTAGTATTCACTGCACCTCTAATCTTACCTCTCCTGTACTCCGCCCGACTAAACTAAAAGGTGCTGGTCCACCTGACGGGTATTCCCCCCACCCGTCGGCCTATCAGCACTCGCTCTCTCGCCCGCATCGGCGTCATCCATCTTGTCCGAACATGTTATCGTTCGACTCATCTACTCCCTATCTGACACTCATTCAACAGCTTGTCTGCTGAGTGATGCCTCTCCTACCTCTTTCTCCATCTTTCTTGTGAGTGAGACTCTGTCTCAGTCCCCTCCGAGGTGTGTTAAACTACCCTCTTTCACATTTGTTGCGTGAACCAAACCTGAGTGGTAGTAAGTTAGATACGGCCCCTTCCTATTCTTCTTATCAAATACAACTATGAATCAGCGCCCTCTGCCTGATCGCCGTCAAACCCTTCCCTGCAGGCAATATCTGGGGACTGTCTAGGCTGCCTTTGACATTCACTGCTGGGACTAACACTTTGGTACGCTTTCATAGCCAGTGACTTTTCTTCTACGTTACCCGGGTGCCTGACAGCGACCGCCCATTGATTGACCTCAGGCTGATCCCATCGGGTCGGTCGTATGCTCCTGCCCCTCCTACCCAAAGCTTCCTGGCTTCCCCCGTTGGCCGCCTCGTCAGCCTGCTGTAAACACCTCATCACTTCCCTGCCTTTCCCCTCTCGACGCTATCGTGGTCTTCATCTACCTTCAAAGGCTACACTCAGATCCGTTTCTCATTCTCTGCCGTCTTGTTGGTTGATGTTGATGCTGAGTAGGTAAGCGCTCAGGCAGCCTGTCCGGTTTCAGGCATCCGGTCTTGCCGTTCAAGCGCTGGGGATTCTGAGATATAAGACACTGATACCTTGGTTCGATCCAGACTGCACTGCACGTCTTAATAACTGTCGCTCTATCTCTCTGTGCTGACGGCACCACCACTTATCACCATGCCTGCCACACAGGGTAAGTGTTTGCTCTGCACTAGTCTATACGCACCGAAGCCAAATCGAACTAATACCTGTTCTTCGGGCAGCTATTGTGACTCTCCGCCCTTTGTCCGTATCCGATGATTTGCCATATCGATCCCTGGAGTTTACTTCTACCAATAACCAAATCAACATTGGTCGGGCTTCTAAGCGTGAATCAAAGAATCTTATCCCCGCCAGAAACAATGGATTATTTGAATCGAGGGTCATGTCGCGCAACCATGCCAAGCTATGGGTGTGCTTCGACAAGCAGGTATGTTCTTCTATATGGCTATCACCTCAACAGGTAGTTGGGCTTCAGGCCAAAATAGGCTGAACTTTGTTTAGCTCGTCTACATTCGTGACGGTGGGTCGATGCATGGTACCTGGATAAATGGGAAGAGAATTCCAAGAGAGGAGGACTCTGTCATCAAACATGATGACGTGGTCACCTTTGGCTCCACAGTGTATCGTGGCTCTGGTGAGTCTTACCCGACTGCTGAGAAAGGTACAGATGGGTTATTGACGTGTCATATAAGATACCTTTCCTCCACTTAAAGTTCGTTGTGAATTCGAATGGCCTGACCCTTTGTATGCCCCATGTGTACCGCCTAGTTTGAGCAGTGCTGACACCATGGACAGCCAAAGAACCGCCCTTGCAACCAATACCTTTTGTGTTCCTGACGATGATGACAGTGATGCAAAAGAAGATTCCGTTCCTATGGTGGTTGCATCCGACAGTGCTTCCGATATTGACAACTCCACCCCCGATTCAGATTCAGACGGCCAATCCGTCATGGAGGTTTCGTCGCCTTTGACGTCCCCTCTGAAGAGGGACGACGCAAGAAATTCCCACGTGGGTGCCTGCTCAGATACAGATCAAGTGGGTAGACATGATGGCCAGCAAGGATCCCAATTGAGCCCTATTGATCTCGAGCATGGACAACATGAACAGCCTCTGGTAACTCCCCGGATGACCCCACCCTCCGTCATAGACCTTATCGACGATCCAAGTAACGCGGCTCATGATTTTGATGATTTCATCCAGGAGGCGGACAGTGCGTCTGCAATGAATACCTCTGACGACGAGGATTCCAGCTGGGGCGAAGATTACCATGCTGGTTCGGATGACGACGAAGATGACGAGGTTGATTCCCAGTCGTCGTTCAGATCTAATGCGGAACATTCCCATGAAGATGAGGAGTCTGTGAGATCGAGCAGCCTTCATGTTCTGGGGATTCGCGACTTGATAGCATCAGAGGCGAGCTATGCTGTGGAGGAAACAAATGCCCGCTTGCCAACTGGAAATGATACGTCCAAGCCCGAATTTAACGATCGACATGGGGAGGATATGGCATATGACGCTGAGACGTGTGAGCCGGAGTTGCTCGCCGTTAGGAATTCCACATCAGATCTGCGTTCTCAGAGCACTGGCCCTTCCAGAATAATTTCGACCGAAGCTCCACCGCCGCCAATCTTATTGCAGCCAACTCTATCTTCTCCATACGGAAAGACAGTCGATCGTTCGCTACCTAGCTACCAGAATAACCCGCCAATGATGCACATGGACTGGTGGAATCCACGAACCACTGCAAACACTTCATACTCCCTGCATATCCCCCCAACTCCGCAAGTGCCTTACGCTGACGGACCCTTTGTCAACAACGAGTCGTTCCTGCTTGGTGAGACTGATCCTGCTTGTAACCGTGGAAGTGATTCGGTCGTTGCGTCTATGGCTACCCCTGGGATTGTAAGCCAGGAAGCACCTTCGAGCGACGGACAAGAAATCCAGGAGACACCCATGCCTCAGAAACAGCCAGATCCCATTCCAACACCATTGCCACAGATGCAAAGGTCCGAGATAGGATTAGATAGCGTTCCCGCAAACAAGCCACTGAAAAGGAAGGCGGAGGATATTGATGGCTCGTCTGGGAGTTCCGAGCTAGACGTTGCTACTCATCATCGAGACGGGGTTGACTCAGCTGTGACAAGCGATAGCCAATCGTCTGACCAAGAGACTTGCTATCCGGATGCTCAGCCACAGATGCCAACGGACCAACAGGAACTTCCATCCCAGTTGGCAGACTTAGACAGTGCGAAGGAGCTGCCGTCAGTTGACGACTCCATTAATGATGCCGAGACGACCGCACCTCCTACAAAGCGAGCAAAGACTTCTAGTACGGGGAGGTTTGCCAGCCATGCTGCAAGTGCTGCTCTGGGTGTAGCCATCGGTGCTTTCGGTACTATCGCTGCGTTGGCGTCGCTCCCCCCGGATTACTTTCAGTAAAGAATAGGAATTGTCCCGAAATTGGCCATTCGCTTTGGAAACCATGCGCTTCTGCTATGAAACACGGTGCTTATGAACCACACCGAGTACGTGGTGCTATCGGCGTTCTCTTCTCAAACCTTTCCGAATTGGGATATGGCGGGTGCTGCTTCTCTGTCTCTCTTCTTTTTCTTTCTATCTTTCGTTCACTTTTCCTATGTTTGGTATTTGGGCGTGTTTCTCGCTGTTTTCTTATCTTCCTTGCTCTAATGGGCTTCTTCAGAACCGAGGTACAACCAGCCAGCCCCCGCAAACCTGGATGTAATTATTGTTCTAGCAAATAATACAGCCAGTTCTTCCGATGGCACACTAGTCGGTGTTGTTCCGGGGTGGATGAGACGGGCCAATGTAACCACGGCCGCAAGGCAGGCTCTTCTCGCTCTCATGATCGGTGGGCCGGCTTTTAGTTATGACCGGAGGGTCATACTGGTTCTTCCTGCTGAGTGGAGCTTATTGGCCTATTGGCCTATTGGCTTGGTGACCGCCATGAAGTCGACCATGACCACCACGTCGGCGCCTCTATCAAGGCTTCTCGTTCGTTACGTTCTCCTTCTCTCCCTCTCTCTTTCCGTCTCTGCATTTTCCTCTCTATCCTGATCTGCCGTAGAGGAGCTGCCACCGCTTCTTCTTCCCCACCTTCCCTCCCCTCCTTTACTTCCCCTCATTGTCGGGGTCGTCGTACACCCAGAGTGGAACTTATCATTCAAGGGCAATAACCAGGTTGAAGGTGTCCAACCGTTCGGCCGGCCAAGTTGCCGTACGTCACTCTTTCTTCCTCCCAGCTTTGCTTTTCTCTGTACAACAAACGGTGCCTCCAGCAGCAGTTCCACTCCGTCAAGCGCGCGAGTCGCATCCAGTTTCCCTCGGTAGTGTCCCTGTCCCGTGGCCTTGCCTTGAGTTCAAGGTTGGAACTCCTTCGCCAACCCTGCTTTTGCTTTTTCTCCTTCCAGGGATCTGTATCCCAGCCAGCACTTTTCCTGTGACTCGGGCAGGTTAACAATGGCCACGATTATGTGCCCTAATAAAATTCCAAGTTGGGTCCTCAGTCGTGCGCGTGATGCCTGCCGGATACTTGCAGCTCACCGACCATTGATCTGACTGAGACCCAACTTTGCCGTCCTCCACTCCTACCTTACCTGTAAGCCACCCACCCTTGCATCTTTTCTTCTTTCTGGTTTTCATTTCATTTCTTTTCTTTGTCCACAAGTCTTTTCTGTTTCCCTGGCTGTGGGATCCACCCGTGACCGAGACAGAAATGGACCACATGGATGGCATTGTCACTGGGTTTCTTAGCCATCCTTCGCCTCGGTCTAGGATCCCTGAGTAAGGGCAGATTGGTCCCTTTAAGACCACTAGGGCTCAAGTAGGTGTTCCGTACCCCGTACCTGCGGCAGGAGCATCAAAGTCAAGCAAAAGTTTCCCGCCATGAACTGCGTGAGTTCCAACCGCAGTTCGAATCCCATAATATGGACAGGGGTTCTTATAACATGTGACCAATCCGCAGACGCAGGCCACTCAAAGAACCTCCAGGATCATCGGCCATTGGTCCAGGCAAGAAAATTTCCTTTGCCTTTTAATGAGGACGACGCAAGATTAATGCCCCAAAAGGCCGAGCAATCATCGCTGCACTGCGGTTGCGATGGAATCGCCATCTCCCTTTCCTTACCCCCTTGAGAAGTGAGAACCGGATACCTGCAGAAATCGGGAATGGACTGCCACTTGCGAGGCGCGGAAATTACGGCCTGCAAAAATCACTATCTGATCGTCCAGTAATCTGCTACTCTCATTTGTTCCCTCTCCCCGTGATTATTCCTTCTCATTTTATTTTTATATTTATTTTGATTTTTCTTCTATCTAATTATTTTCTTTTTCTTTCTTTCGAGGGCGCTTGTCCGCGTGTCCTCGTGCCCCTGCGGTTTCATGGTTCCCGTCACACTGTGCCCATTGTTTACAGGCACGCATGAATAACCCTCCCCTTCCCTCACTCTTCGCGGGTTTGACTCGTTATTTCTTCTTTGCCTTCCTCAGTCTCCATATGCCCTATACTTCAGGGGATAAGAAGACGGCTTTTAGTGCATGGGCAGTGGCGCTGCCGCTAAATTGGCCTAAACGCCGCACGACCGTTGCTCCATCGCTGGCGGGCACATTGGAAGGCCCACGGAGTATTCCGCCTAGAATATAAGCTGAGGCGTAGCTTACAGGGCCACAGAGTTAGGCAGAAAGTGTCAAGACTATCCCGAAGCCTATTCATGTGCCATGAAATGATTGGGTGAACAGCCCGGCTGAGACGCAGCTTCGTGCATGGAACACCCTACGACTATACCAACATATAGGGAAAAGCCCAGGGTGAACTCAAGGCATACGGTATTGACGAACGTCGATGACTCTGTATGGCTGCTAGTCCAGTGTCACTACGACCACAACACATCGCTGGAACAAAATTCCGCGTTATCAGGATATGTTGCCAGCCATGATCGTGTAAGTGCGTGTCGCACTGCGCTTATTCGTTATGGGAGGTCAGCGAAAGGCTTAAAGGGCCACGTCGCATTGGAAGCAGTTGACCTGGAATGCTTGCCGAGCTTAGCGATTCTTGTTAGTCGCGTAACACAATTCTCCGTGGCTGCCATGCTTCTGGGTCTTGTATCCCGCCGTATAACATTTCCGGCTTCTGCTTGGTCACATACTCGAGCCTGAACCGACGTCTGTATTTTCGACTAAGCGCACCATGCAGCCGTAATCACCTATTCGGTCGCCCAAGCAATGATAATCGAGATCCATCATTGTCCGATACGCTTGGGCAAGTCGTGCATCTAGGCACCTGGTCTGGTTGGCAACGGCCGGCACAACGCCCATAAACTGGACCCGGCCCTATGGATCAAGATTGCAGAAAAGGCTCCACTGGGGCGCGGAGTCTTTCCTTAAAGGAATCGGAGGTGTTGACACGTCCGACAGGCACATCCTGCATCTCCTCAGGTGGCCTGGGGCTGTCTCTGCGGCCCCTTCATGATCCTGGGACCATGCCGCACCGTCCGGTCTCATGTTATTGGTGCGGCATATCGAAAATAAAAAATCTCTGGATGTGACTGAATCTTCGTGCCTTGAATTTTGCTCGGAAGATGAAATCTTGACAGATAATTTGACGTTGCTGATACGAAGTGGTCGTGACTCGAGAGCTGGTAGCACACATCGATGACCGAATGAGTCTTACAGTTCCCGTCCCCCGCGAGCTTGCCCTTGGCACTAAGCAGGGAGCGGGATGATTTGACTGAAGCAATTCGCATTTGCTTTTTTCTTTCTCATTACCTTCCTATCCGGGAATCTTCGCCGATTCTATGTCTCATCTTGATGATTGATAAGCCCAGTGGCCCCCCTACAAATACTGCGTTTGGTCATGGGAAGTAGCATATCCGACTCTTGATTCTTTCTCTCTGTCCGATCAACGTATCAACCCTCTTTAAGGTTGTGGAACCAGTTTCTGAGCATAGCCTATTCTTGGACTACATATTACCATCTCGTCCTCGTTCCAGAAGACACGTCTCATCAAGCCGGACTAATGTATCAACGAGACCCGGGGCATACCTCCTGCATTGGGGGGCGAACAGTGGTGACATGCCGAAGCTGTGCGGGAAACGCACCACGGTCAGTCGATGCATCCAATCATTCTTGGATCGTGTTGCCAATGCTAATCGGGATCAGAAACTCCGTTTGTAGTAGCTGCAACGGCCGTGGGTTTAATGTCTTCATATGTCCTCACTGCAATCCGGCCGCTGCGGCGGCAGCGTTCAAGGGCTCTGCTGGATCCTCACAAGGCACCACACCGAATTCATCTGTCCCTGCTTCGCCGTCATCTCTGAGCAGGAGCTCATCCACCTTATCCTCTGATACCAGGCCCGTTGGGAACGGAAGGCGGTCGGGGGACAGCGACGAGAGCTCTTCAGGCGGACACGTCGGAGCAGGGACTAATTCACCACGGACGGTATAGAGGATTCTTAGGGACGTCGTAAAAAGGGCGCTGGCCGCCCGTGTGCCCAGTTGGCTTTCGGACACTCATTCGACTGCTTACATGTGTTGCGCTATCGTACCCTTTTTGATTTATGAAGGACCATAAGGACGGCTCTGCGGCGGTTTCTTTTTTGGCGAAGTGCAGGCGCATCAGGACATAGAGGGAAGCATGGCCTTCCATGCAGGAAACCTGTTGAGGATTATTGATTGCGCACCATGTCACGATAGTCCATCGTCGTCGCACTTCGTTTCGATGTATTTACTGTTTCACGCCAGATACCAATAGGGAAATGAATTGCCAGATGCTTGGATGGAGTGACGTCAGCTCCCGGGGTGAGTTTTCCCGAGCTTCTCTCCATATTGGATTCAGGACCATTGGTTTGCCTCGGATGCGAAGAAGTGCAAGGGTCATTTCATTCGCCCCCTCCACAATCCTCTTGAATAATCTAAGGAACCATTTTCGCTACGCCTCTGTCACTCCCACCCCCGGATATCCCGACCTCCACCCATCCCACGGCATATCCGACAGCCGGCAATGAGAGTTCTGGAGTTTGGGGCAAGACGCGAGGACGATCACTCCACCTCAGGTTCCGAATGCTGTTTCCCCCAGAAACCTATATGTAGGAACCATGACTGCCCCTGAACTCAAAATCTGCTTGTCCTTTCCTTACTCATTAAGGAACGCTCTGATTTTCCTACAACATGGCCTTGTCTTTCACTGAACAGCCCCCGCAGGGGAGGGTTCCTTATGCGATCCCGCAATTGGAGGGTGAACGCATCACGATTCCGGGGAGCAAAGGAGCCTTTCGTATCCTGGCTTCCTCTAAGCAGACCAATGGCCTCATGGCTGTCTTTCAGAGCGGGGCTGTCCTTTCAGACGCCCCGGGCTTTCACTATCACAACCACGCCCATGATGTCTTCCTGGTGACCAAGGGCTTCTTGAAACTGTGGAATGGAGACAAATGTCGGATAATGGGGCCTGGAGATTTCGCTTATGTCCCTCCTGTATGTCAGATGCTATTTGCTATGCTTCATTTCCTGTCCTCCCTTTCTTCGCTCACGACTGACTCTCCAATGTCTACGATAGACTGTGGTTCATAACCCGGAACTGCTGGGACCACATACCGAGACCTACGGCGTCGTTACTCCCGGCGACTGGGTCGACTTCTTCCGCTACGTGTCCGAGCCTTATGAGGGTATCCTGGTTCCCGAGAACGACGACCGCGACCTCAAGGCTCTGTTAATACCCAAAGTGATGGCTGCGAAGCAGGACTTTGACGTCGTGTTCCAACCACACTACCAACCTCCTGCCCTAGGGGAGTGGAGTGCAGATGAGGAGAAGCTCCCCGAGTCGTCACAACCATATTTCCTGCACGCCAACACGGGTCCCAAATGGATGCTGGGAGGTGTCATGTCCCGACCATTTATCACCACCCGTCAGAGCCAGGGTGTCTGCGCCATTTCCAGCATTGAATCCTCTAAGACATACGGCGAAACTCTACTTTCTAAATTCCTGACCTTCCAGTCGGTGGATCACTGTTTATGTGTTCAGGAGGGGACATTGACCGTCCAGCTGAAGGATGGCCCCGAGTCAACTTTCCGCGAAGGAGAGACAGTTGTGATCCCGGCCGGTCAGGCGTTCGCTCTAAGATTCGCCAGTCGGTATGTGCGGGTCTGGTCATTTACCGATGGCGATGGCATTGAGACTTTGATCCATCGGTTGGGCACACCATTCGAAGGTGCCGTTCTACCTGACCAAGTGCCGGAGTGGAACCCGGCGGAGGTTGGGTCTGTGGCGTCCGAGTTGAATGTGACCATTGAACTCTAGAGGGGAGAGAGAGAAGGAGGAAGGGGGAAAGGGTGGATGACGTGGATGCATGAACTTAGCGTGGCTCAATTGAGCCTTGTGACGACTATTGGAACTGGAACTATTAGCGATACCTGTCATGCTCTACCTTATTTGTATTAGTTAGTTAAGAAAAGTGGAAAGGAATCGAATCCATTTCATTTAATTAATTTTTTCTTCTGCACCCCGCGGGGACCCCGCAGAGGGTTCCCACGTGATGCTCACGATCGGAAATCCCGGCCGAGTCTCCCTTTCCAACTTCATCCTTTTTGCGATTAACTTCGGCCTCTACTACGATCGACTACTTCCTCCTTATCTTCAATTTGCCTCCACTATTGTCCTTATAGTTCGTTTTGGATACATACCCCAGTTTTCCCTATGTCGTTTACCTTCGTCTAGATGGATGATGGATGAGTCGCCCCCCATTCACACCGCGGGTGATGATTCTCTTCCCCCGCCGCGGGCCAAACGCCCTCGCGCTGCACAAGCATGCGACCGCTGCAGGGCCAAGAAGTACAAGTGCGACGAGCAGTATCCCTGCGCGCACTGTAAAAGTATGCCGACTATCGCGATAAGCTGTTCCCATCCTGAACTAACCTCCTTTCTAGAAAGCCAACTCAATTGCGTCTATCAAGGGAATTACCGTCAACGCGAAAGCAGCAGGTCTGCACGGTATGTATATTATCGTTCGCCAATATAGTAACTAGCTAGCTAGTTCGTGCCTTGGTATTTGCTGATACATCAGACAGATACGTCGCTGATCTAGAGCGCAAAGTAGACGAGCTGACGGCTCGACTAAGGTTGGCAGAGGCGGACGTTACGTCCCAGCATTCCTCGCGGTCCCAGAAGGTAATAGTACAACCAAGCTCGGGACCCAAGCAAGCTCCTCCTCCCCCAGTGGGCGTTGAGGCGACTCCATTGTCGCTGCCTCGCGCTGCATCCACGCCGAGAGAAGATGCGCCTTTCATTTACGAACACCATGACGAAGCTGGGGAGTCGGTGGGGGATGAAATCAGCGAACTAAATCACCACACCAACGGTATCGAATTTCACGGCAGCACTTCTTCAACGGCTCTCCTCGGTCATCTCCAAAAGGCACGGGAGCCGCAACGCTCCTTGGAGCGTCGGGATGCACGTCTCGAGGACCCGGGATATTCGATTGTCTCGACGCTGCACAACTCGAGCTTTTCACCCTCGGGTACCGGCTCCGCCCAGCCCTTGACCTTACGGGAACAGAATTATTACTTTGAGCAGGCTCATGCATTCATCAACGGCTATTTTGAGAATATTCATTTCATTCATCCTCTTATTGATAAGGAGGACTTCTTGCTTCGGGCGCACAGTCTCTGGTTCAATCGTGGCGTTCAGCCAGAGCCGAGTTTTGTTGCCTTGTATCTGAGTATCCTGTCGTTCGGGGCCCTGGTCCGGGTCTGGGATGAGGACAGGCTGGGTGGACTGACCCGGTTCGAATGGAGTAGGAAGCTGTTTGGGGAGGCCCAGATGTACCTCAACTACCTGCAGTTCTCGAATACTCTGGATACGGTGCAATGTCTATACCTTATGGTATGAGATATTCTCTTCCTGGGCGAAGTACGGGCTGACCTGGTCTAGGCTAAAATCTGTCAGAACGAGCTGAATCCGAACTGTAAGTAAACTACTTCGCTACTTGCTTTTGCGACTGATAAGCTGACATGGCTTAGTGGCGTACATGTACCTGGGTCTGGCTATCCGCACATGTCTAGCTGCTGGGTTCAATCGTGAGGTGCGCAGTTCGACAGAGCAACGCTCGGAGTGGATATCAAAGACGTGGTGGTAGGTTCGTGCCCTGCTTGGATAGATCTCACGCTAACCCTGGCAGGGGACTGTTCTCTTTGGAGATGTAAGTCTTTCTGGACATCCGGTTCAGTCATGGTCCTAACCCCACCAGTGAAATGAGCTTTTCTGTAGGCCGTCCAGATACTCTAGGCATGGATGAGTACCACAACCGGGCATTACCTGAGAGAGACGACTCTGAGTACGCTGTTATCCCATGGATGGTGGATTTTGCATACATCATCCGCAAGGTGTCTGTGCAGATATACCATTCGCGTATTACGTTACAAGAGAAGCTGCATCTCGCACTCCAAATTGAAAATGAGCTAGACCGATGGATGGCGAGACTGCCGGACAGGATCAAACCAGACATTGTTCAACGAGCAACAGGAGGGGCGTTGAGAGATCCGAAATGGGCACGAAGGCAACGCTTAGTGCTCGGTATTCGTAAGCATTCCTCCCCTACACGTCCTCATCATTTGTTTCAGTCACAGACACTAAACCTTCCCGACCAGGCTACTACAACGTGAAGATGCTCCTGTTCCGACCATTCCTCAGCTACTTCACACGCAAATTACGACATACCCCTATGGAACTAGAAGAAACGATCGCCAAATGTCTCGACGCAGCAATGAAAACCATTCAAGTCATTTACGATATTTACCGAATTCACACATTCTTCCGCTGCTGGTACGCCTGTCTTATACCTCTTCCTACACCCTCCCTTCTATATTCCAGTTAACCCAAAATTAGGTGGTACAACACCACATATGTCATGTTCGCCACGTCCACCCTCCTCCTCCCCATGTCCAAACTAGGCATGTGCGCCGAAACCATCCCGCTCCGCCGCTCCGTCGAAATGGCCGTCGAGATCCTCGAAGCAATGGACGAATCCGTGGTGGCGCGTAAATCTGTCGAGATTATTAAACACTATTTGCGAGAATCCCGGCCCATCGATGTTCAATCCGCTACCACACCATCCAGTAGCAACGATGGAACCAAACTTGCCGACTTTACTACTGACCCAGGAGCTGCAGCAGCAGCATCTGCTTCGGCTACTGCCCAGACAGGGTTTGATATTCCGGTATGTTGTTTCGATCCTTCAACCCGCTTCATGTACAAATGGAGAAACAGAGTTGCTAATACAGGGGGTATAGGAATGGGCGTATGGCTTCGGCTTCCCGGATTGTTCCTTTGAAGGCATCGCTAGACTGTTCGATGATTTGGGAGGGTTGCCGATGTTGGATGGGTGACCATGTATTACTACTATATTTTACCATGTGCTATGCAATTCCATTGGTCGATATTAGGGACTTGGGGGTCTTGTATAGTGGGGTTGACTTGTATATAGCTAGTTAGCGGAACTCATATATGACTTCATAGTCTACTATTTCATTGTCTACCTCCTGGATCTGGTCTAGTAGTGATCTAAAGAAACTGCTATTGATAGTTACCTAGTGACCCACGTAATTAGAACAATTGAAGACAAGTAACTAAATCACGCCCCTCCACCGAATCAAAAAACCTAGATAGAATAGATGAATTTATAGATCCACTGATCACTCCATACTGTATCTATACCCAACTAAAACACTACTATTCTATAGATGCGAAGTAACCCCCCTCCTCTTACTACCACCAAACAACCGCGGATTCTGCTCCACCACGTTCTCCACCTCCTTGATCGCATCATATCCATAAAGCCATGGTTGAACTTCAGGACACGTCCTACACATTATCGTATTAGCATATGCTGACTTTCTAACCCCCCTTACTTCTCAAACCAGAAGAAGATGGGGGTGGGGGATGGATTAGTAATAGTACATACCACCGACTCGGAAAAGCCCCTTTGAGCTCCTTCCCCAGCTGAGAAAGGAATAATTGGTCTCGTTTTTCTTGTTCGGGGCCGTCGTGCATGTGGAAGTCGTTTCGCTTTTGTGTTTAGAAAACAACCACTGGTTAGTATATTTGTGCTTTCCTGGAGGGTGGGGTGGGGTGGGAGTTGTATGTGGCCAACTAACCTGCTTGAACGTCTCCCTCACGATAGCTTCACCTCGAGACTTGCGCAGCTTCTCGTATAAACGGAGGATAGCGGGCAGGTCGGATTTGTGTTTCATGTGGCCGAGGAGACCTCCGAGGACGGCGCCGTCTTCGAGGGATGAGTTGGCGCCTTGTGCGAGGTAGGGGAGCATTGGGTGGCAGGCGTCGCCGCTGGAGGTTTGGTTGGGTTGGTTAGTTGGTGGGTGGGTTGGACTGGGGGAAAGGGGGATTGGACTACGTACATGAAGACGAGGTTGGATTTGTCGTTGATCCAGGATTCCATTTCGGCGTCTGAGTCGATCCAGTTGGTTAGTAGATGACAGGGGGATCGGGTTGGGGTGGTGCTGGTGCTGGTGTACTTACGGTGCATGAGTTTCCATTTGTCAACGCCGTTGACGTAGCCCAGGAAGCGGGTTAAGCTGTACTATATCAGTTTCTTGGGGATTATTGAAGTGTTTGTGGTGGGGGAAGCAAACGTACACTGGATCCCAACCTACGAATAAGCGCATCATCTCGTCCAGCGAGCCGGTCTGTCGAGATACTCCCGGGGGTAAATCATCCGGTACCAGGAGAACAATATTCATCATCTTCCCTCCGCGCAGGGAATACCCTACTGCATGTGCCCCAGGTCCGATCCAGAAATGTACCGTCGGGTTCTCAACCCAAGCTTTCAGGTCCGGGTCTGAGATCTGGTCTGCCGTTAGGACAATCCGATACGCCAGATCTCCCGTGGGAATGGGGTCGTCTTTTTTCCCGCAGTAGCATTCCCGGCACCGGGACCAGAGTCCATCTGCGGCGACAATTAGATCCCCGGAAACAGTTCTGCCGCTGAGGGTGGTGACGGTAGTAGTATCGAAGTCAATGGTGTTAACTCTCTCGTCGAGATGGAAGGTCACGCCGAGCTCCTTGGCTCGCGCATATAGTGCTTGTTGCAGGTCTACGCGGTGCAGGTCGATGAAGGGTGCAGAGTACTTGGAACGGATATTCCGGTTAAATGAATCTTCATGGGCGAGGACTTCGCCTGTGTAGCGGTGGACTGTTAAGGAAGTGGGCTCTGCAGCGTCGGTCCATAGCTTCTCGGGGAGCTTCCAGTGTGAGAACAAGCGGGAAGCATTGGGAGTGATCTGAAGACCAGCGCCAACTTCTGCCAACTCTTTCGCTTGCTCGAGAACTGTAACGGTGTGGCCGGACATGGCGCAGGAAATGGCGGTGGCGAGGCCACTGAGGCCTGCGCCCACGACGATGATGTCAAGGTGTGAGTCTTGATGGCTCTATTTGATGGTTTAGTATTTATCTTCATCACCTCCCCTTTCTAAAGTTACTTGGTACGACTCAGGGATAGAACACACCATTGTGGATCCTTCACTTCTCCCGAGAACACTGTTGAAGATGCCCATGGTGGCAGAGGCGTCTGGGATATTAATGGCAATGCGGAATGGCAAGTAAGGAGGCAATCGCGATGTTTGTTGCTCTTTAAATCCACGACGACACGCTTTGCCGCCGGAGCTGCACTTATCCGCAATCACAAATCGTCAATTGGTCCAGATAGGAGAGAATTCCTGAGCTCAAACTGGGGCTGATTTGTAGGATTAGCCCCGAAGTCCCCGGCTTTCCCGAGGGTCGGGATATCCGGGGGGTGTGATGCAACGGTTCCAGTGGCTGACGTTCATCCCCATTCCTCATCTTGAGCAACTTGCGGGGGATCCGGGGTCTAGTGCCTTGGCTGGCACGGAAATGGTAACGTATGTTGGGATTTGGCGAACGGAAATTCCGTGGAGGGCTATGATACGAAGCCATCGCGCGAAAGTGAAAAAGAGAGAAGCCCCCACAAGTCGAGAATGGCAGAGCAGGTGACTCCGTCACGTGGGGCCTTTGCTTTTCGCCCTGCTGAATTCATTGTGCTTTCTCCCCAACCCCATGTTCGAATTGCCATCCATGGTACACTCCATGGTCCATAGGTAAAGTCAATTCATGCTCGTGGTTGATGTCGTCTCTGCGAAGTGGATCGACTAAAGCAGGCAGAAATATCCGAAAGCATATCTGTCTCAACCGAAGAAACTGTTAATCGACCAGGAATCTTTTGGGGATGAAGTCACTCACGCAAGTGCTGACAAGTACGACTGGAGATTAGCTTCGCTGTTTGGAATCTCGCTACCAGACCTGCCGGAGGCTAGACTCATCTGACAGCCAAAGAATAGACGAGCTCACAGACAGCTTACCCAAAGTTGGGAACGCTCTAAGCACGGTCTATGCTTGACTTGATTCGCCGAGGTAAGCTCTCCTGGCACTGAATACTAAGCATGACCTTCCCCACTTACCAGGCACCAGTATCCCACGTGTCCGTTGCTCGAAGGTCCTATCAGGAGCACTTAGAGGCAAAGCTCTTTTTTATCATAAAGCAAACAAAGACTGAGGTCATGACGTCGGGAAGAACCCGCGCAGGGCGGAGACGCAGACTTTACGGCCATAACGCCTAGATACGACCCCTCCCAGAGGCACTTCGACTCAGTCCCCCAGCCGCCGTTAATATAGAGAGAACACCGTACAGGCTCTCCTATTGAGCAGCATGGGCCTCTGGACGGGGCACTATTATTCGGTAGCTTTACGCCACTAGTGTACTCTATCTCGCTCTTCCTATCACAATCCATCTACGGCGCAGGATCGTACGTGGTCCCGAATATTCGGGGAACCCGAGGGCCACATCCCGGGATGAAGTGGCGTTTCAACGCCAGTCACTACCCTGTTCATGGAGATTCCGGTGGGTTTAGCCCATGTGATGATGGAATAGATTGTGTGGGGTAAAACCGGGGTAGTTAGTGACAACAACCCAACTGCCGATATATGATCCGCTCCATCTCTAGATATATAGAACTTGGCATCGTATGACCTTTCTTCTGTTCCTCACAACAGTTGGACCCTGGGTGGCCTGATAATTGTCCAATAGTACTGCTACTAGTACTAGTACTAGTACTTCTATCATAGTACAATATGGCATCCCAAATAGATCCTAGGGTGTGTCCCTCCCTCCTCTTCATCATCGAATCGGAAAATAAACAAACTGGAAACAAGCGCTGACCATCTGTTCTATGTCCTCCTATTGGGAATTTACAGCTCTATCCCCGCAGAGTCCGATATGCAGCTCTACTCACCGTCAATGTATTCGTCTTCATGGGCAATATGTACTCAGTATGATACTTACCCACCATCTGGATAATCCCAGTTGTCTGGACCAGCACTACTCACACGCAATGTTCCACATTAGTCAGGGATAGCGACCGGCTTCGACTCCCTCGCGGCCGATCTCCACGTCGAATACCAAAAGCTCGCTGACCTAATCTCGTGGTCCGTCTTGTCCATGGGCCTAGCCAATCTGGTCTGGATGCCGCTGGCACTATGCTTCGGAAAACGCCCGGTTGTACTCGTGTCCATGGCCATGTTTGTCGCTGGGATAATCTGGACGGTCGTCGCAAAGGACTACAATAGCTTGATGGGAGCTAGAGTGTTTGCTAGTTTTGGTATGATATATAACCATTCCTGGAATTCTGTCCGTGTGATGAATCCCTAGGGGTCTTTGCTAACAGCCACAGGCTATGGATCGATCGAGTCATTGGGGCCTAGTATCCTTGCTGGTTGGCATTCCATTTTTTTCCAAGAAAACATATAAAACGAAGCGAGCAGATCCACTAACAAGCCTGCCCTAGACATGTTCTACGAACGCAACTACTCCAGTGCAATGGCAATCTACGCTCTCTTCCTCTCGGCTGGCTCCCAAGTCGGTCCCCTCATCGCTGGTTACCTCGTTGCTGCCCGTGGCTGGCGCTGGTTCTTCATCCTGTGTCTCATTATTGCTGCAGTCAACTTCGTAACTACCTTCTTCTTTCTTCCAGAGACGCTCTACGAGCCTGGTCCCGAGGAGCAATTGGATGTGGACGATAAGGAGAAGGCCGAGGCCTACCAGAGCCACGTGGAGGCCGTACCCGACGTCAACACCTGGCGGCGGCAGCAGCAGCAACAATTCTCCTACGGAGGGTATTGGAAGAGTTTGTTTAAAGTTGGCCTATCGGATGCAGCAAGAGAAAATGGTGTCTTCAAGCATCTGGCTCGGCTGTTCTGGCTACCGTTGCCTATGCTTCTAGTCCCGGGAGTTTTGATAGCTGCGATGATGTACGGTGTTGTATTAGGAGGGTAGGTTCCCCACTCCCCGTTCTGAGCCAGGTTGTTTCATGGAATAAGCGATCTGACTATGCTATGCCGACAGTGTGGTCTCTATATCCACCCTTTCTGCCAACATCTTCTCCCCTCCGCCATATAACTTCTCCTCTGCTGCTCTCGGCCTCTGGACGCTTGGTAGCTTCGTCGGCATTCTCGTCGTATGGCCCATCGCGGGCCCTCTGACTGACGCTCTCTCTGCCTATCTCCGCAAACGCAATAATGGCGTCCATAAACCGGAGCATCGGGTTCCCGCCCTCATTATCCCGTTCGTCATCACTCCACTTGGTCTGGTTATCTTTGGATACACCGTCTCCCGCCACATGCAGTATGTGATACCGGCAGTAGGTTCGGCCATGTCTGCAGCAGGGTTGACGCTAGTCCCTTCGGTGATGTTGTCATATGTTGTCGACTCATACCCGGACACTAGCGGCGAGGCGCTAGTATTGGTGAATGCTAGCAAGAACGTCGTTGCCTTCGGGTTGAGCAAGGGATCAGTGGACTGGATGACCACCCAGGGTGTGGACAAGATGTTCTATGAATTCGCTGCTGTACAATGGGCGGTCCTCGCTTTGGGATTACCATTATATTTCTTCGGGCCGTGGATCAGGAAGAGAACTTCCAAGTACTTTTAACGATGATCAGTCTCTATATATATATATATGACCTAGGTTAAATATGTTTTTTCTCATCAATCAATGATATTGTCGAGCCAATGTGGCTATTTGTTGAATTGTTTCTGCCATAGGACGAGACACGCTCCAGCGCGACGTGATAGTTTTCAGACTGATCTGGAGAAAGTTCATCTCATTGAGCAGTGGGACTTTAGTCCTGTCGGTAGCTTCGTGTCGGAGGTACTGATCGATGTCATGTCCCTCACGCCAGATAACATGCCATGGAGTGTGTGGCCCAACGTGGATCGTCTCTTCGCGGGATAAACACCATCCACCCATCACAACTGCTGAGGCATATATAGCAGCGGGGATATGAGGTGCGTGGGCTGACTTGATCGGAATCTGACTGACGATTCGAGTAATAGCAAGTGCATGTAGAGCTGCCCTAACAGCACCAGCACTCCTAGCCCATTGATTAAGGTCAAATGACAGCTGGTCTTCCTTGGTGGCCATTCCTCCGAGTGGCTGCTGCAGACCATATGCCCGACATATCCTTCGACATAAGGAAGCAGAAGAAACGGCTAGTTCAAGGCAGACGGTGTGCCATCGGAGGGTGAGTTGAAAGTTGTTGTCGTGGATGGGTGATTCTTCACTGATGTTTTTGTCGTAGATATTTAACAAAGCTTGGATAATCTGCCTTTCGGAAATTGCGCCGAATACCGGTCCGGTGGTTTCGTGCAGGTCGGATATGAGGGATTGTAGACCCTCTAGGGTGACAAGGGTAGAGAATGCTGAGAGACGTGGTGGGGAGGAACTCGAATAATCTGGTGAGAAGACGGAGACAAAGACTTCGCTGAAGGGACGTTGAGTTGGGCTCGATTTTTCCATTTCGACGATCCAATCGTCTGCGGTCTTTGCGAGGAAGGCAGCATCAGGGCATGCGGTTTTGATGGAATTTATTAGGTGACGAGTGCTGGCCGGGGACCCCGAAGCTTGTGAGATTAGGCCGTCGAGTATATAGTGGCCTAGGATTGCGCGTCGTTTAGTTTCAATGGCCGCCCATGTCAACCATGCCGCGTGCTTTGTCGAGCCTGGGGCTTCTCGTCCTGGAATGTCGTATTGTTGCATATCTTCTGCGGCGTACATGCCAGATGTTCGCGCCCAGTAGAAGCCAAGTCCATGCCATACAAATGCAGTTCTTCGTATGCTTTCATTGCTGGAGAGTAGTGCAAATAGTTGCCCTAAAAGCGCCGTCATGACCAACTGGACACCGTCGCAGGCATCTCGCGGCCCCCGCAGGCTACTTAGTGTTTGCCAGGAGGTTGCTACCGCGGTATGGCCGAGGCGCCAGAGCATCTCTCCTTTCTGAGATGAATCTGGTTGGCATACAAACAAGGAACCGAGGGCTACCATGTTCAGCAGAAGCGGTGGGATGGTTTCACGTGTTGAAAATGTCGGTTTGTGTATGACGGGAAAGCATGGTGAAAGCCATTCGAAGAATTGCTGCAAGCATGCGTCGAGGAAGGCGGATGTGATCCCCGAGCTATGCAATTCCGAGTTCAAGCGTTTTGACAGGTCCTCTATCAAATTGTAGCTTTGCTGCATGGCTATCTTTCCAGGTTCTTGTTGAGAAACTCCGGAGTCCTCTGCAGAGAGGATGTTCGGGCCATTGGATATTTGCAGATGCGGTTGATATGGAAGCTCGGTAAATGGTAGCGGGATGGCCGATGGGCCCCAAAAGTCGGGCATAAACCAATCCAAGAGGTTGTCAGAGCCGAGCAGTTGCTGATTCCCGGACAATGGAGACTGCTCGAACGAAGACATCCCTAGAAGACTCAGTGCAGATTCTTTGGGACTGGGTAGATTGCCCTCATTTGTGCCGCCTACTGATTGCGTAGCATCAGAGGAGGCATTTGCTCGAGAACGGGCATGGAGCCTCTTGTGTCGGCCAAGGACATCACCTCGTCCAAAGCTTCTGCCACATTCATCACATCGAAATGGCCTGGTATTGGTATCTATGTAGCGTGAGATTCGTGCAATAATGAATGTCATTCCCAGAACCTACGAGTTCGCTCATGTCTCTGGGCCTTGTTAACAAGGGTTCTCTGGCAAAGGAAAGGCGTGCAAAACGTACTGAAAGGTGTTCGAATTTGGTATATGACCTATTGCATTGGTGGCACTTGAACTTCTTGACTCGATCCATCAGTTTCAGGGCGTTTGCGCATTAGCCAGCAAAGAACCATAGGCTATTCGGTCTTTGCGGGGAAAGAAAAGAAATGCGGAGAGCGGAATAGTTCGGATGCGGAGACAAGCAACTATCTAGCGTGACCGCCTTTCAGACCGGACTCATGAAGAAGCTGTTGAACATGATCTATTTGATATGAGGAAAATGTGGAATATATTATAAATAAAGGTTGGTCGGTATGATGCTCAGCTACCAGCTTAAATAGATGCATCCGATAGAAACAGTGGTGCATAGCTGGACAATCAAGAAACGCCGAATGCTGCCTATTATATGCTCCAAAACACCCATGCGAACGCCTTCACAAATCCAGAAACAACTCGCTGAGACCTCAGCTAGCAACCGCAAGCTGAGCCACCAAATCCGATGCCACGTCAAGGAACGGATAGGGACTAGTGACCTCTTTCTCCTTATTCCAGAACCGCTTGCTGATGGGATGCCAATCGGCATCCCCTTCGCCACGGATCACATTCTGGTATCCATCGCATTTGAAATCGACCATGTAATTATTCTCTTCGAGCTGGTACAGCTGGATGTCGACGAACACCCAGACTCCATAAGAGATGCGCGAAATGGAATGATGCTGCGTCGCAGAGGAAGGACCCGACATGCTCGCGTGCTCTGGGGTTAAATTCCTGTCATCCAAGGAAGCCGGCGCACTTGAGAGGTTGACGCGGCGGCGAAGTTCCTCTAGATCACTTCGACTGCTGTGGACACTGGTCGACGGGCCTGGAGCTCTGACGCCTTCTTTCAAAAGGCGGGCTCGTATGAACCACGGTTCTTTCGGGATGTAGTAGTCCGATGGTAGGTCAGGATACTTGCTCTGCAGCGGTTGCGGCTGTCCTGCGTCGGCCGGCTTGACTCCAATCTGCAACCCGTCTGAAGAGAAAATACATTAATCACCCTGAGTCGAGAAGTGGATCTAGTGTGGACTCACCTGCACCAGCTGGCTGGATTTCCCATATCCCGCCTTGTGCTTCAATGGCCTTGTAAAGGTAAAGCATTGCCTCGTAAGGCTGATTGCGTGAACGAATGCCAAACTGCCATTTGCGAGATTTCTTGGGTTGATGCGGGGCACTCCGACCTTCAGGCGGCTCCAAACGCAACTTGTCAAGGTCTATAATACTACGAGAATGCGGCTTCAGAGCCCTTGCAGTCGCCTCTTGCTCCTCCGGGGAGCGGCCACCACGGCGCGAGTCTCCCTCGGATTCTGGACCACGTTGCGCTTGTTCCTCCAATAACCGGTCAGTGGCCTGGATTCTTTGCTCACGTTCGCGTTCGCGCTCGCGCTCGCGCTGTTCCATGAGTTGGTCGTGGACATAAGGTAAACTCGTTGGTAAAATCCGAACATGGCTCACGCGAGGTGCGTTTAAATCGTCGGCATCGCTCTGCTGAGGCGGTTGATAGCTCTGGCGTTGCGAACCACTACGTGTTCTTGTTGGAGGACCAGGTGGGGTTCCCGGAGCAGGAACAGGAGTTGCTCGTCCGGACGTTGCAGTAGGCTTAGGTATCCTGTCGGGAGGAGGCGAGGGTGTTACCGGGGGTACCAACATATTATCGTCTGTTGGCGCTGGAGAGTGTCAGCACGCTTCACATGAGACAGAAACAATAGCAAAGACCCATAGAAAGAGATCTTCTGTAGTACTCACAATTGGTTTGCATCATCTCATTCTCCATGATGATAAAGAAAGCGTCCTTGATGGCGCTGGGCTCCGGATTCTTGAGCGCATCCTCGATATCGTCGCGGGCATAACCCATACTTCTCTCCAGCTTGGAGATAGCTACTTGATGGATTTTGTGCTGCACTGACAGGGGCTTCCCCGGGACCAACTTGCGGGGATCAATGGCCTTATTCGGATCGACACCAGTAGCAATGAATTCTTCGGGCGGCGGCTGTAGGTATTTGGGTAGGTCTTGAAGGAACCAGGGATCTTGACGGATCTCAGGGATAGTAAGCCTATGAACAGGATGTACCTGCAGCATTGACCTAATTAACCGAGCAGCTCCGGGGGATATGTAGCCAGGCATATGAAAGTTGCCCGCGGCAATTTTCTTGAAAAGGGCCGGTATATAGTCGTCGTCGAACGGAAGCCTTCCTACCAAGAGCACGTAGAGAATGACACCACAGCTCCAAACATCTACCTCCGGCCCCGCATAAAGCTTCCCGGAGATAACCTCTGGCGCTGCATAGTTAGGGCTTCCGCAGCTGGTTTTCAGAAAGTTTCCGTCCGTCATAATGTTGCTCAGACCAAAATCTGCGATCTTCACATTCTTCTCGCTATCGATCAGAAGATTCTCCGGTTTGAGGTCACGATGTACGATTTTATGACGATGGCAGTACTCCACAGCACATATGATCTGCTGGAAGAACTTGCGGGCTTCAGCGTCATTACACCGGCCCCTCTTGACTAGATAATCGAAAAGTTCCCGTTCGGCATATTCCAACACCATGACGATGTCGGTTTTGGTGGCAATGACGGTGTACCTGTCGGGAAAACAGCAAGTTAGCCATTGTTGAAGCTTTCGAATCGGATTCTGTCCGCCATTGCGGCATGATGCAGGGAATAGTACAATTTGATGATGTGCGGGTGCCGCAGCAGTTGAAGGTATTGGATCTCACGTTCAACACGACCAACCATGTCACGAGACAGCAATTTGCGACGGGAGATGATCTTCAGAGCGACCTGGCGACCACTGGGCTGGTGAATGGCCAGTTTCACCTTGCCAAAGGAGCCCTCCCCCAATATCTTGATCGTCTGGTACTGGTCGAGGCGCTGCATGTCCCGGGTGGTTGCTGGTGACTGCATCG